ACATGCCCAGTCGGGGCACCCGGATTTATCTTTCGATTTGTATTGGATCAGTGCAAGCACGTCCGCGACCTGTGTCATATCCATCAACATGGGTCATTGCAGGGCATGCATGGAGGCCTCCGGGTCATATTGGATATGAAGAAAATTTTTAATATAATGAATCGGAAATTTGTATTACGATCATTCGACATCTATAGATTAGACCCTATTTTACTTGGTCTTATTAACTCATGGTCAATTCGACACAAATATTGTATTCTCTTTAAGGATCTCATTGGTTACGCGGCAACCTGCGGCGGCATTAAACAAGGGTCCAAGGATATTCCGTTTTTGTGGGATCCTAACATGAATTCTATTCTGTTGGATCTGTAAGCCAGATATTCATCGCGATGGCTCCATGAACACATAGTGGTTTATGCAGACGACGTCCATCTATGACGGCATTGATGTTTGTATTTGCGTCCCAGGATTATGGCTAAAAGATCTATTTACCCGCCTAATATCATTGAATGAATCCCTGGCAAGAGCAGGGCATTGTGGCCAAGCCGCTCCGACAAATGATGTTCTTCAACGTGGTCGAAGAGCTTGTAATCCGGACAAGCTTCCATTCGTCTTAAACAAACGCGAATGATCAAGGCCCTGCAATCCAAACAAATGTAATTACTTCCGATGGGAGCATCAGGCCAAATCCCTGAAATCTTCTATCAACTCAGCGGATGTTGCAGCCATTGTCCAGAGGATTCAATAGGTAGGGAGTCAGGCGGAGCTCATCCATCACTTCTTAGCCCTCATGTCCCTGCAAGAGGACAAGCTCCCTACGAATGCAGCGGCGGTGAGCCCCTTTCATTGCGGAGCGCGACCTCTCAGGAATTCTTCGATTTTCTATTGAAATTAGTAGGTAATGGGTTAGTTCAATTCATTATGATTCGTTTCCAGCAGTCGATCTTACAGCGGTCCCCATTGGCCCAAGCAGTGGCCTAACGCCTGAGGAGATGAGCAATTCTCTGCTCCAGATGTGCCTTGGCAATCCTGACAATGATTGCTTCTTCAATGCAATATCGATTGCAGAATTGGGTGCATGTTATATGAACCTGAATCTTGAATGGGACCAGCTTGGCGCCTAATTCTTGAGATCCTCCGCAAAGCACCTCAGATTCTTTGGAACAACTTTTGACCAGATAACATAATCATCATAATTTCGGGGCATAACATGATGCTGCCGAATTTGCAGAATGGCTACGCCTTGACATAGCAACGTCACACCTTGGGGATTTGAATCAATCGCCTTGCTGGGAGGCACGATTCGAAGGTTCCATCGAAGAGAGGGAATTGATTTGAGGGTAAAAGATTGATCCGTGCATCTTGCAAGATTTAATGAATGGTTGGCCTCGATAGGGACCCTATCAATATGATTTCATGAATCTTGTCACCAACGTGTGCCTCCAATTGAAAAAATTGCCAGATGTTGATCAAGGATCGAAAGATGCCGTTCGTTGGAACCGATAATAGATTCGATTTGCATGCTTCACATATTGCATCGGTTAGATCATATTCTGGAAGGATATTGAATGGATTGCTAGAATCATGCAACGAGGTGAGAAATACCGCAATAAGCACTACTAAGCCTGCATTCGACCAGCAGGCAATCGTTTCATATACAAGGAATATATCATTTAAATCAAGATATCAAATACGATTAATAAGTTTGTTTGCACAAGCCGCCTAAACATAGTATAACCAATTATTGGTCCAAAGCCCAACACGGACGAAAGATTTCTTTCCATCGGAAATAAATGAAATACAATATATTTATAATTAAATAATATTTAACGAAAAATTATAGATTTAGATCTAAATAATTTCAAAAAAATAAATATTGCTACGAATATTACGGATTGGGGTGCGATCGAGTAAAACTACGCTGATTTTTGAAGCAAAATATTCGAAATAATCGGATTATTTCTTACATTTTCGCCTTTTCATTTTTCGTCTTGGTTCCTCCATAATTGGTTTACGGCTTCCGTCGCGATCCGGGTCCCCCCCCAAATAATTAAATTATTTTACATATTTCGATTTTCAATTACCAGAAATAATGCAAATATTTTATATATTTTGCTTTCGTCTCGGGGCATATACTACTAAGCAATTCCGCTACGTTTGGACGCCGTCGGTCGCGGATTCGAATCCCGCATGATCCACCACAGACAACCTTAATTCACTTTAAATTTCTTCGTAGCGCCCGTCCTTGGGACCACATTTCTCATTTCGTTCCTACGTGCTCTTTGAGCATTTCTTGGACGCGTGCGTCAGCGCTTTTCATTGTAAGGTTCGGACGCTCGCGCGAGGGAATAAGGCCTTACCATGATACTTTATGTTTAATAGCTATACGCGTGAGCGCATCGCAAATTTAACATTTATATTTGATGCTTTGATAGAATGCATTTGTGTGGCAAGATTGCATTGATAAAGCTTCAATTTGTTTGATGCTTTGAAAGATTTTGCATTTGATTGGCAACACTGCATTGATCTATTTTCGCCTTGCATCTTTTGACATACATACACATATGTGCATTATTCATTCTGGCTTGTTGTGATTGCGCCGATCATTTGTTCCATGTTCTGAAGGACCTTCTGCTCGAGTTGCCTTTTGCAACTTGAAAAAATTGGTCTTGGCATTGTTGGCAAATACGAGACAGTTTGGTGTAAACAAACATTATTATTATCAGATTATACGGGATTTTTTGCAAGCATCATGGACATCGCACAATATTGTGTGTATATTGGAGACAATTTCTTATACAGAAATATTATGAAAGGAAAGAATTTTCTTTGCAAGCACGAATTGGGTTTTCTCAAAATTGATGGTGCCCTAATCAGCTCGACTTTCAATTCTTTACCATAGTAGTCCTGCTCCTGCAGCCATTTTGCCACTTGCGTGTGGCCCGGCAGAGGCGCAGCTGCTTCCGGGGATCCCAATCTTGAAGTCATAAATAGCCGAAATAATTCTAGGCACGGGGCATATTCGCGATATGAATTTTGCTTTCCAAAAATAAAAAAGTAATGCAAGCATTTTCGGCTTCATGGCGTGGAATATCGGAATTTTTTCTACCGATCGTTTGCACTGTTTGTTGTTTGCCTTCTTTGTTTTTACCGTGGGTTGTCCACGAGTCTTGCGGCCAGGTTCTATGGATTCTATGTTGTCTTTGGCTTGTGCATATGCGGTGCTTACGGGTGGCCGTGGCATCTGTCGCTTGCTGCGCGACCGCCTATATGACACATCGGCACGGACAACACCGGCTTGGTGCATCGAATCCGCATGCAGAGCATCTCGAGCCAGCAGATGAGATGCCAGACATTGCACACGAACCTGATGGCGACGACGCGGACTTCAATCCTTCAGAGCAGAATTTCAACGGGGGGATATCAGCAGACGCCCGGGCCGTGTTGCAGAGCATCGGTGAATCGATCCTCAACTTCGCTCAACAATCCATGTCTTGGAAAGCGGCCAATCACAACAGTTGGCATCCCTTCAACGCTTTGGGCTTTTTAGGAGCTCGGGCTGCATGGCAACGGATCAGCCGGGAAAATTTGATAAAATGGTCAAGAGCAACTGCAGCAAAGCCCATATCTTTGTTTCCGGATCAGGGCCTCATTATGAAGGTTCTGCTGGACAGGATCGACGAACTTTGGGTGGATGGCGGGCACTCGACACCAGTTCTGGCTCCCTGCAATGGGTGGCTGTCCGCGCTTTCTAGCAGTTCTGGCGCAACGCTCTGCGATCTGTGGCATTGACCTGTGTCCTGCTCGCTATCCGCCGCTACAGGTAACAAGCAACTTGCAGAAAATGATCGATGAGATCTGCAGCAGAACCGGGCGGCAGCGAGTGCCGCTGGTGTGGCCGGTCACAGAGAATATATTCTGTTATTGCATGAATATCATTGATGCGAAGAATGGAAGCCAGACCCATGGTCCCTATTGACAGCTAAGAAGAAAAAAATAATCCGCGATTTATCGATTTGTCAATTTATTCATTTATTAATCTGTCGGAATCGAATTTTGAAGATTATGTTTTTCCGATATTGCAAATAATGGATCGATCCTAATATTAATGCAATTTAAAATATCTATATATTAAATTAATTTTACAATAATTTATATATATTAAATTATTTTTTCGATTTAAACGATATCAAAAATCATTCATATTTTATATTTAAGAATTTAATCATTCTTCACCAATATCGTGGTAATGCTTTTGCGATTTTATATTTTGTTTTCGTGCTATTTATATCGAAAAATCATTCCTAATCTGCAACCATTCTTGTCATCGCATCTAAATTCTTTCAATATTATGGCTTATTTCGCCAATCCTTTCGCAACAAAATCCATTCATCAAAAATTCCCAATCTTTCTCTAAATCTTCCTTTCACAAAAAAACATAATTTTATAACCTACCTACATTATCTCATAAAGAATTAATCCTAATAATAATCGATATTTAAAGAATATACTATAATATATTTCAAAAAAAACAAATTTATAAAACAATATATAAAATATAAACATTCAATATTCAATATATTTTAACAATATATATCCAAATTGTAGACATTAAATATTTATATTTATCGAAATCGATAATCAATATACATGAATATAATTATATATAAAAACATATCCTTACAAAAAAAAATATCCTCACATTAAAAATTATATATATATATAACAATTTCAATTTCACCATCAAATTGACAATAATATTAATATTTATTATATTATAATAATTCGATACGTAATAAATATAATAACCATAAATTTGTTATATATATATCCATAAATATAATCCTATAATATAATTCGAATAACTATTAAATATAAATCTAACATATATAGATTTAATATATAATTATTCATTTATTATAATTCATCTATATTGATAGATATATATATATATATGGATATATTTTATATTATATTTATATATATCTTCAAGATATTTTATTTCGATATCCTTTCAATATCGGGTGATAAATCAATGGTTTGCCAGGATTCAAGGCTATCAATAGCGGTCTGTTTAAAGATCCTCACAACGGAATCTGTCATTGAAGCAGGGGCCCATTGCACTTCATCAAGTTTGTCCTGTCCGAAGCACGCCATAATTATTGTCAGCGCGTGCAGGTACAGGCCCTCTTGTGAAGGATGTTCAAGATCATCATCCAACAACGACATCTCTTTGGCTCTCTCATCCATCAAGCTGTGTGCCAATCCCCCAGGAGCAATCCAAACACCGAGCGATTTCTCAGCCAGCTTGTGAGCCAAACAAATATCACTTAAGGTTGTTGCAGACAAGCGCTCATAAGGATGTGCCATGTACATGACTGGCAAAGCGCCAGTGGATCTCACCACCTCCACGAATTTGGTGAGCACTGGATTAAACTGCTCGCAAATCACCTGCAAGCGGCTCACACTTTTGTCCCGTGTCTTGTACTCCGGCAAGTCATCTTGCAGCACCACGATGTGCCAAGCACCTTCCAAAATGCGGCTTTTGGCTTGACCGGAACGCCAATGCCTGGCCAGCGTCGCTCCAGGGATGGTCTCGGCTTCCGCCTCGAATCCCCAGTTGCGGAACATGGAATCGATCCCTCCTGACCAGTAGGTCAAGGAATTTCCAATGAAAAGCAGCCGGACAGGACCGGCCAAATTCTTCAGGGGCAGCACCGCCATGGCAAAGAAAGTCAACTAGGTCATGCTGCTGTCTGACTGACTGAATCAAATGCCAACATCTCCATGGGTTGAGTTGCAATGACAATGGGTTGCTTCAATTGCTACGCAGTTGTCGTATCATCTGCCCAAATCTAACTCTCAGCCGGTCAAAAAGCATCATTGAACCACATCGAATGGCATTGAGACATTGAGGTCGGATTGTAGAGAGCTACAGCCCGGCTGCTCCTCCTCTGCCTTTACATCTCGACTCTCAAAAGATTGCCGGTCGCTGAACAATTTCACGCGATGGGGACCAATCCGACCGCTTATCTCACTCAAAGGTGTTGAGTCCTGACCTCTGAAGTTGGTGCAAATGCCGCAAACGCACAGCTTTTTCCTAAGACGTTGCAATCAAGGCATCTTCGTTGGCATCACTTGGATACAATCCATACTGGATTGCGAAACCAATGACAAGAACCACCTCAGGGCGTTGTTGTGTGCCACAGCATTCAAACCAGTAAACCTCCACTGTTGACTTTGCAAGCTACCCTAGATGGCATCAAAACCATTCACCCATCTCCGCTCGGCCCTTCAATTGGTTACTCATGGTTACTCAATGATCCGGAGAAAAGACCTAAAAATGATCAGCGTTCAATGTACCTTCTTGCCCATCTACCTTCTTGCCCAATCAATTTGAAGCTGCTGCTGAGGCTCAGGATATGCAATCCCCAGGAATATGCCCAACGATCTGGTCATGCGCCAACCAGAGACTTTGCTGTGTAGCAGCGTGGCCAGAAGGATCACCTACATGCCATCAGTCGGCCGACTGGCACCCCATCCACTTGGGTCAGCTCAAAAGAAAGACTGCTTTTCCAATCATGTATAATGTCTAAATGATTAAACAAGCACATGCAAACACAAATAGGCTTGTCGATCCAAGTGCAGGTCCCATGCAGCGTCAAAACTGACACCGGATGCGACATCAATGCGCCGGTCATTACCAACGCCTCGAGAGATCCCAGAAGGATGAAAGCGCACGGAGTCATCATGAAAGGAGTGCGGCCACCATGCAAGATCGAAGACAGCAGCAGGATGGATCCATTCCTCAATGGCTCAAACTATTTGTTACCTTTACACCTATGAGATCCTATGAGTCTATGAACATAGATGATCATAGAAGAAAAAAAGCGGAAACCAAGTCTTTCTGACCAAAAAGGACATGCCTCATTCAACTCTCACTGGCCCCGACCCGCAATTTTAATGTCAGGTATCCCAAAGAGCACATTGAACATTGGCCCAGCATAGATGCCAGTGATTGCAACCCGAAATTCACCTGCCTGCAAATGATCTTACGTCTGAGATGGCAAGTGATGACAGCATTAATTGGTTTGCTTGGATCAGTTGGATCCTTCAAAGCAGAATGCTCCACCAGCACGTCCAGGTCAATTGATTCACAGACCACAACAACTGTTTTCTGAGGTTCCGGAAGGGAGACTTCTCACGACCAAGTCAGTGTTCAAGCTTGGTCCACATGTTCACACTTGTAAAGAAGGCTGTGCCCAAAAGAAGTCCGGTGACTTCTACGGCATCGTTCCTTCGGTGTTTTGCGTCTGGTGAATGCCGACTTCACGCACAACAGCGGCAGCGGCATTCGACCGTCTCAGCAGTATCGGACCTTGGCCAGGCCCAACAATCCAAAGACATTGTCCACACAATTGCCCCAGGCCAAGAGTGTAATGCCCATTGGCATCGGCTCTAAGCCTTACAGAAAACCGAACGTCGGAAGGACGCCAAATCGAACACGTTGAAGTGATCTGTTTGCGTTTGTTCGCTTTGGCAGGTAGCCAATAGTGATGTCAGGTAGCAGAAGCTAGTAGTAAACATAAGCTAGTAGAGAGGATGCAGAAAGGCTCGGATATTTCTAGAATTATTCCCCTAAGCGTGGGAGAAGCTTCCTCCAAAAGCCCTTCGCGTGGTTGAACCAACTGCGAGATTCTGAGGAAAACTTTAGAAACTATCACTATAGTATTGAAGTCTGTTGTATGGGGTACCTCTTGGGGGATTTGGATGATCATTCGGTACCTCTAGAAGTACGCTTCGAACAAACCTGTTGTGGGACCCTACAAGTCTCTGGCCCTGAGGCCTCAGGAAAGATCCCCAGTTCTGCATTTTTACTACAATATACTACAATAACCATAACCTATGGTGGTCTTACTCGGGCAAATTCAAACATACAGCTTGTTCATGTTTCAAGCTTCTCGAACCGACTGTTTTCCAATGGCTTCAAGCAGAGCAGGGCGACCTCACATGGGTCAATCATGGTAAACCTTGGTCAAATTTATTGGAAGCCTCATGGGATGTAGATGACTATCTATGGAATTCCTGGATATCTATGGTGAAGTTCCTGCGGCCCGTTCCATCGCAAGGCACCCATAATCGTTCCCACGAGCTGCATGGCACCCACGACTTCGTTGGCCAAAAGCGCCACCCACCTGAGGAGGAGACAAACAACTGCAAACAAACTCCGCTTGAGATGCCTCCTGAGAACCAGTCTACATATGTCTACATGAATGAAACGTGCCGTGTGATACCTACCTCATATAACACATGTGCAAGATCTGATCCCAAAGGATGGCAAACGAGGGGGAGACACACACATAGACACTCACATCGCACATGCCGGATATTTGGCCAAGCTGCAGAAGCGAAGTAAGGAATGTGGCCCAGTTGAAACTCATCTGCGCCTCGGCTAAAAGCAACTTCAAATTTGAGATGAAGCTTTCTGAGACCTTTCTGGAAACTGTCAATGCTTAGTTGGTTCCAGTACACATGTCAAACCATTGCAAACACATTAATCATCAAACTAGACCCGAAGACAAACCATGTGCAAGCACAGGTGCCACATAATGCTTGGGAGGAAGATTCCGGGATGTAGTCCAGGTAGCAAGCGATAGCGCGAGACCCACCAGCCAAAACAAAACCAAAGTCACTCGTGCCATCCTCGGCTTGGCTTGATGAATCACAGCAAAAGAAAGCAAGTAAAACAATGTGTGCCAGTACCCAAAAAACACCAATTTGTGAAGACAAACCGCAAAACACGCGAGTTCTATCTTCCTCTAAGTACCAAGATCCTTGCGGCCCTTGCAATCATTTCTCTGCTCTCAAGTTCCTCTCACAGATCACCTGCACAGCCAAGTCAAAGGCCCGAGGATCCACGGCGATTTCGAGTCTTCCACCTGACGCCAGGCGGTTCCGCGGTGGGAATCCACACTGTCTGACGTGGACTCATCCGCATTCTCGAGTTAATGCGGTCATCCTTTCTGGACTCTTAGATACTTCTGCTGCAAAAAACTTTGGACTTTTGCATTCTGATGGCTTATGCTGAACCTGTCTTAATTACAGCAAAGGAGACCTTGCCTCAAAGGCTTGTGTGTACAAATTGCTCGTGGGTGACCCAGTGATGCCGAAGGGGATGAAGAAACACATGCCTCAGCAACATTTAATGGGATTCAACAAAGACACAATAGAATGGAATGGGGCAATATGGACCACAGGGTTCGTTCTCTTCAACTGAAATCCCACGTGTCCGGTGCGTCTAGCTGCATTCACCAGACACGTGAACTGCAGGGGCGACAGCGACGCGTTCTCATACATCCCTTGAAGACCAAAAAGGGGTACCTGTTCACTTCTTGTCAAAGAAGTGATTATATAGTTTCAGACGTTCAAGACACACAGAATGCTAGCGGCACGCTCTTACTATTTGATTCATGGCTGCAAGATTCTGCAAGCACATATTTGTAAGACATCTTCCCTGATTCTCCCTGTGCCCCTCGGCTGCCCACCCATCGGCAGCAGGACATTCACCAAGTCATCCCAGGTGGTGGTGGCCATGGTGAGCACCTGATCGACCGCACTGCACGACTACGTCGACGTCCAGCAGTCGCTTCACCAGTCATGTCATCTTGGATTTGATGTCCAACCTGGAAAACATTCTTCCTCAGAAGGGGATTTCCAATCGGAAAAAAAAACATCTCCTTACGCTCCTTAAGCAAAACCAGGTCATTTGTGGGAGTGTGCGGGCTATCTTGCCAAGGTCACTGTCACTTCTCCACTGAAATCTCCCTGACCAGGTGCAAACTAGGCACAAGGAGCGGCCGCAGTGGGAGCGCCAACGCGAAGCTCAGACGTTCGATTGCTCCGCCATCCTCCTCCCAACCTGGAAGAATTCCAGAAGCATTTCCAACTAACATGCCATTCACTTCCGTCGCTGTATCATCTCTTCCCAGCAAACAATATCAACACCTCCTGTCCTATCAAAAAGAAAGAAAAGGTAACACAGAAACCTTTCACCAATTGCAGCGCCTCGTGTCAACCACCCACGGTCTTTGTCAGGCTAATTACCTGATTTTGTGCGCGCTTGTTTTTTTTTCGCCGTAGATTCTGTGGATGGCCTCCCCGTTTTGCCGGTCACCTTCCGCGCAACTTCTAGCCCGATGGTTGCGTTGGCTTCTGTCCCCAGCAAGCGCTTTAGCTCATGTTGCCTTGCTGTCATACATCGCGGTGCGATGCGTTGGCCTCAAGGACACGGGACCGAGAGGGCCAAGCACCCGGCCAGCGGTGCATCATTGCGGGATCGCAATGGTTGGGTATGGCCCACGAGCGAGCCGACACGAGCGAGCCGACACTACGCCAGCCATGCGCTCAAACAAACGACCACAACCAAGCAACAAGCCAAGAGCGGCACGCCAGCATGACACCAAGCACAAAGCATCACAGGTCAAGGAGTTTCTCTATCCGGTCTGGGTCCTACTAGTCAATGGGCACCGATCCAAATTGGGCGCCGAAGCTCATGCGCCTGATCCATCTTTACGGAGGACGTCTTGTTACGATTCTTCAGGAGTCATACCCTGGTCACACACCTCCACGTCTACAACGGCCTGCATGCAGCTTCAAGCGGTCCATCCAGCTGTCGGCCGCAAAGGATGGGGGCTCCGCCACAGGCTCACCAGCCAAGGCTGGGAATGACACCTCGAAGGCATTGGGATCACTCCAACATATTTCAGGTGTTCATTGCCGGCAAGCACAACACAGCAACTTGATTCGTAAACGATCGTAAACATAACAAAAGGATCATTAACGCTGACAAATGGATGCAAATGGTGCTGTCAGCAATCTTCAGATCATTGGGCACGTTCGAACTGAACGCGTGATTCCACCATTTTCCATGTGGCTTATTTTGGCTTCAGCTCAACTCTTGAGCACAAACTCAATTCCACTATGTTCCACTTGTATTAAACCTACAGTAAAACACCTGCATTTTCCATGCCACCACCCTCTTCGCCGCGCGGCCGCCACCCGGCTGCCACGTCCCACGAAGCTGCCAGGCCCTGAGCCCGCGCTGAAGGACGAGCCCCGCCGCGGCGCCGGAGCGCCGGTGACCGCGCTGGGTCCGACGGCCGCGTCCGCGGAAGCGCGGCGCGCTCGGCGGGACTCGCGGAGGCTGAGGAAAACATAGAGGACGTAGAACAAGTTCATGATGAGCGCCATGTACCTCATTTAGTATCATTGAGTTATATCATATTTAACTGATGACATCTTGAATACTGAATCTCACGGATTGCATGTCACATCATCCTTGCATCTTTCAACCAGTGAGTGCAGTTGGGGTGCGGTTGTCGCTTGTGGTAGTTTGCTATGTCGTTTTAGAGGGTTCGGATGGTTTGGTCATCATTGACAACTTTTCACACGCCGGTAAAGCTTCTCTCAAAACAAGAAGCTAAGCAGCGGCTATTGTCAAAGGTTTAAGCAGGTGCCAGTGTGTCACATACCTCCTTGAGATTGATCGAAAACAAATCTCTAAGCTTCGTCACCCAGCGCCAACCCACTGGCCGTTTCGCCAAGCGGGATCTTGCCAATAACCTGACTTCCATATGTTCCGTGCGAGGTCGTGAGAACCGTGGGCATCGTCCTCTGCCACCTAAAGTGAGCCGTGGGCGCTCCGGCAGCATTTGCGCAACACAACGTTTTGTTATCGACTTGGTTATCGATCAGGCCTTCGTCGGGAAAAGGCGCATTGTACGTACGAACTGACCACCTCTTTCAAGGCTCACGCATCAGTGCTGCACGCTTCGCAAGACTTCGCTTCGCAAGAAGGGTCATTGCTCGGAACCTAACAAGCTTGGCTGCTGGCGCAGGGTGCTTCAGCATGCTGAAAAGCAAAGGAGAGAGCGTTGTACAGTCTGCCCGCAGCACAAGCAGCTTGCCCGCGGCCAAACAGCCCGATGGTTTCGTTGTGCGCAGTGCGTCACACAGCTTGCCGGTCACCGCCAGTCCAATAGCTTCGTTGCCAGCACGCAGCGTTGCCGAACATCTCCAAACACTGACAAAGCAAAAAACACAGCGACATAGTTCAAGTCATCGATTTTGTGTAGTTCACAAGTCATCGCTTTGACGTCGGTTTGGAGCAGCTCACATCATGGGAGTGAACCTCGACGAACAGTTTTGCCTGTAGCTCCAGATAGCTCAAGTGCTGTCTAGAAACGTGGAGACAAACCCAAAGGATCCGAAGAGGATCATCAAACCAACTGCCAAAAAGCGGAAGCTGATGTCACGAGTGAGGACTGAAGGATTCACTTGGATGCCTCAGCAGGGAGCTCTTCAACTGATAAAGCAAGAACCGGTAGGTTTGCTATTTCCCACGTCTTTGTTTCTTACGTGCCAAATCAAGAATATAGTCATATCATGTCATATCCACTGCTGCAGCCTGCTGCAGCTGCACCACTTGTTTAACTGATCAAACAACAAAGAGTCATAGACTAGAAGCCTTCTGACCCTGCGAAGAGCAACACCAGGGAGGCCACAAAAGTGTTGATGAAGACCCCAGTGCCAAAGACACCTCCAAGCCAAAGTCGAACCTTAGCTAGCTTAGCTTCAAGAGGTCGTGAAAGTTCCTTGGGTTGATGGAAGACCACACTTCCAACTTAAAGGATATATGTATGTATACACACATGTCATGTGTCTTTGCTTGTCTCTTCCTCACATCTTGTTTGAGACATATCAGTCAGTCCTAACCACGCAGCTAAGGCACATCACTCTCACTTGATTCGCCGCCACCGTTTGCGAGAGCCTGGCTTGCTGGGTTGTGTAGTGTGGTCATGTAGCTCCACAGCTTTCAAGGCCATGCTGACAGTGGTAACAGAAGGGAAGGACATGCACTCGCCACGAAAGGCAAGGACATCGAGTGGTCGCTAGAGCAATAGCACACTGCTGCAGCGTTATGCCTGCTTCCTGACTTGGCCCGTGCCCGTTTCCCATTTTTTCTGGATCTGACAGGCGTCCGACATAAAGCCGATCATGAAGTCATTGGCCGATCCGCCCAACGCCAGCAGGGTGGCACCAAGCAGGGCATCAGACATCCTCAGAGGCACCGTTGATCTGCTCAGCAGCCCCAATAGGTGCTACAAGTTGTGTTCAATCTTTGTGACTCAGGGAATCCTGCATGATCAAGCGGAACTTGGGATGGATTGCCATAGAGGGCTGCCAAATGCGATCAGTAGAAGTACCTGTACCTTGAACCTTCAACTGTTATCCCTTGTTTTGTTTCGCTGATCAATACTCCTACTGGTGCAAACTGGACTGGTTGAGGCTTACTTGTGCCGAGCAAGCATCTTGAGACCACGGCCAATTTGGATCAGCACAGGCACCAAGTAACCATCGGCCACTACCTGGAAGTGGAGAGTGGACGACAAAAGCTAGAACAAGAAGCGGGGGGCTACAAACAAAGGCCAGTCTTGTGAGCTCCCTATCACATCATCGACAGGGAAGACTTATACTAAGACTTTAAGAACCTTTAGTTATATAGTTACCAACTTGAAGTCCCAACCTCTGCCCCAACGATTTTCTCAGCTTGGAACAAACGCATAGACCAAGTTACTCCCATCACAATGAAATAGTAGAACAAGAGCAGAAGGCACAGGATGGTCGCCCAGAAGGCATTTCCTGACTTTTGCCACATGACTTCAACTCTTCACACTTTCAACTCGTGGGATGGGATGGGCTGTGGAAGATCGGATGGGCTTTTAGCCCGCAGAGGACAGACGAAAGATTTAACTCCTCAAACATCGAAAGCTGCTTGCGGCCAGGCACCCTTCAATGTGCATGCATAAATCGCCTCATAGTCCAGCAAGGTGTCATCATCCGCGTTGCAGCTCATCAACATGCACTGCGCCGAGGAATGACCGCTCAGCCAGGAGAGTGCTTGCCTGCCGGTCTCGTCCCCTCTACCACCACACAGCCACCTCTTTGACCAATTCCAGCCTGGCGTCTTCTCGGTTGGATGCCACTGCGGCCAATGAACAAAAGGCTCCCTGGCGGAGACGTCGCGCCGTCACGCCAGCAAAGAAAGAATCCAAAGCCAGTCCAACTCCCAACACATCAGTTGCCCAATGCCCAGATCATTATATACCCATTACCCCGTCACCATCGGGTTCACATTGACCCTAGCTCTTTGCCTCCACCTCCCCATCCTTCATCTGGGAGTCCACTGCCTCAAAAGGCGATCGGGTCGGAAGATCCAAATCGATCTGGGTCATCTGAGATCTCAAGTGCTAAGGCCATCGGACAACCTTTTGCAGCACGACCAGCACAACCCTAGATCGAAACCCTTTGGCTGGTCTGAAATCTCGGAGGTGCCAGCCCCACACGATTTCACGCTCTCATTCTTTGTTCTGATTTCTTTTGTAACTCCAACGCTGCCAAGCGACCAGCTGGCCGTCCTGCGAGGGTCAGAGAGACGCGAGCTTGCACTGCCATAGTGAGATCATAGCATGTTACGCATGCATTTTGGATGTCTGATGATGTCTGCCACATCTGCAGAAAACCAGTTTGAATAATTTTGACATCATGTAAAGCTGCACATGACCTTGAAGGATACTGCAAATGCGCCATTCTCTGATCTGAAATGTGTCCCCCAATGAGGACACCATCCACTGAGTGATTTTCTAGATTCCAGAAAGAAAAAGCAGCAACAAGGAAAAGGAATGACATCCAACAATTGGTTTGGGTGTCTGAAGTCTGAGCTGAAACCGCATCAACCCAGGCCTGCAACTCTTTCATCCGCTCTGCTATTTGGACCTGTGAGAATCCGGCAGGGACAGGACTTCAAAGGAGTTGCTATTAGGGAACACAACAAATGACTGCATCAACATACTAAGCATGCTTGGGACGCCAAGACATGGCAGGAACACTTGGAGCCTTCCTCAAACGCTTCATGTTGGAAGAAAAAAATCTTGTCTGAAAGCACACAAGTTGCTCATTTGGCAGCCACGTTTTCTGGAACCAACCTCAAAAAGTGGACTCCTGGACCTCTCTTGTTCTATTGGAAAGGTTCACCACCAAGACCTCGCTGCATTCGGTCAAACCCGAAGCTAAGGTTAAAGTAAGTCAGATCTTCGCTACTAGTAGCTTCTTGTTACTAGTAGTAAGGCGAGGAGCTACTAGTAGCATCCTTGCTCCTAGTAGCGATGTCCTTTCTTCTTGTTACGCACCGTCCAAGATACGGCCAATGTATCCTTCTTGAACATCTAGACGAGGGAGTACAACCCGCCCGCAACAGCTAGGTAGCTTTGCCCATGCCCGATCTCGCAGCCTTGCAGGCTTCATCTTTGGATGCGATGCAAGCGTCGTCCTTCTCCCCAACCTGTGGTCAGGATGCAAACCATGCAAACCGCAACCCCCACAAACCGGCGGAGTGGTCCAAGAAAACCACGACGTCCACACGTCTATGAAGGCCGGCAAAATGTGCTGGACGATGCTGGATGATGTAGCATGGGGCACCACTGGTCAGCATGAAGAGATGATTGAAGATTTGTCAAATCCAGCGTGGATCCAGCTAGATGGACCCATGACAATAGTCAATAGTCCTTATGTTTGTTGGATCCATGAACGCTTTGCTGCAGCTGTGGACAGGTACCTCCAGAACGGAGCAAATGGTTCCCGCGGATGTGTCACAGGAAGCATAGTCAAGGAAGATGTCTGGCGTTGGTGACATACCTGCACGATGGAGTTCAAGTCAAGACTTCAAGTACAGTACTTAATCTATCTAGCTCTATGTATATATATATATAATACAACATTGTATACCATGCGGATAGTTCAAGATGATTCAAAACCGAAGTAATGGACTTCTCCCTGGGAGTCCGGGGCAATTGCCTGTGTTCACACCGAACAAAGCCATCATGTTCGACTCGTGTCCCTGCGAGCATCCTTTTCTCTCCACGAATTCAGGTTCGTTCTGCCAGATCTCCCTTAGGGAATCGACATGAAGATATGGACATCTAAGAAGATCTGCGTAGATCTACATTACATCATTACATCTGTCGAGAACGCTTGCTTCACGGAGCCTTGGTCTCCTCCACTTCGCCACGTGGGTCATGGGGCGATCGAGGCTCCTCAGGCTCTTGTGCCTGGTTCCATTTCACCTGCTCCAAGTCCCGCACTTCCGGAGGCTGTGCCAGAGCATCCTCGGTCATCCGTGAACTATCCATAGAATCATCCATGGTCTCGTCATCATCCATGATCTGTTGGGCATGGACCTTGGAAGTCGCTGGGCCAAAGGACATTTGCGAGATGGATCTGGGAATCTGGTCCTTGGAAGGGCCTCGGCTACCATCTTCTTTGGAAGGAGACCATTCATCTGCACCAAGACCACCACAACAGCCAGTGAGGTTCCGGAAGGACCGACTGAGGGGACGCCACACCATGGCTAAGCCCCACAAGGCAGGGATCACCACCACAATCACCACTGTAAGACCAAACCATGCATTCTTCTCATTGAAAAAGGGCTCCTCTCTAGCCTTGTCCTGTTTGCTGAAGCACGTGATGGCATGGGTGATCTCCGGTTGCCCAGCTGGTTCAAGTCGAAGCCATGTCTGCCCCCAGTAGGCTGCATTTGGATCCTTGGTCCGCTGGCCTCCATAGATGTAGCAAATGTAGTAGCCATAGGCATAAGCACTACACCAAGGATCTTGGGTACATTGCTCCCGGCACTCTTCCTCTACAAGGACATTGCCGAAATACCGTGGAATATCTGCAGGGAATCCAGCATGCCCTTCACATGAGTAGTAGCCCTCGAAGGCATACTTTGGGTCTCTCAATTGGTGACCCACGCACTGCCCCTCCACACACCGCTTGTCGTAGGTGTTGGGGTCGCCATCCTCACATTTCGTCCCCTCCGGTTCGGGTGTGAAAACACACTGACCAGTCCAGGGGTCACATGTTCCCACTTGCCCTGCGCAAAAGACTGAGTTTGTACAAATTTTATCTTTGCAAATCACCTCAGGAATGTTGCTGAGTTCCCTACGGCAAAGTCCAGCACCACACTTGCCATCAACCACCCCCCCATACTGGCTACTGCAAGGTGTATCATCAGGCTTCGCTTCAAAGACGCAACTTCCTGTGGGCGGGTCGCATGCTCCCTCCACTTTGTCGGTGGGTACAAGACAGCTATTGAGGGTGTTACACTTCACATCAAAGCGGACACATTTGTCTTCAATGCCGGTGCACACGGCGTTTTGACAGGTATCCGTGTGCGTGTAGTCCTTGCCATCTGTACAGGGTGTCCCGTCAGGTAGCGTAGAGTAATAGCATTGACCGTCCCCAGGTGCGCAAACACCAACATCCTGACATGGATCTGTCAGCGGGCACGTCTTGCCAGTAATGATGCAAATATTGGCCGGGCAGTGCTTGTACTTCCCACAAAGAGTGCTGGGCCGATGATTGAAGCACATACGAGAAATCCCATCACAATTGTCTGGCGTGCCATCCAAGCGGAGAAGCTCCGTTTCGCCCTCACATTGATCAGGCTCTCCAGGAAAGCCTCGCGATTTCCAGCAGTTGCACTTGTGCCAATTGCCACAATTTGCCTGGCAGTCATTGCTTTCTCGAGTGTAGCACTCACTTGTGTCAAGCAATGCCGACGGGCAACGCAAAGTCTCAAAATCATCTGCCACTCCTTGACAAACACCTTGCGCTTCATCAAATTGTACTGAATCGGCCAGAAGGGTGAAAAGACACTCATCATAGATGGCCGACGCAATGGACCCGCAATTCTGACACGAGATGTTGCATGCTTGGAAGGCCGATTCATTGAAGAAGGCGCAGCGGGCCGCATCCGCACCCCAGAAGGATAACTCCATGCATGAGTTCACGGCCTCCCTGACAATGGTTCCCCGACATTTATCGGTGTAGCACGGTGGAGCAGGTTCTTGAGGGCAAAGTGGGGGACCAGTGTAGTTGGCCTCATTTACGGCAGTAAAGTTGTCTGTGCAGTTGGTTGCATTGCTGCCATTGCTGCCGTTGCTATCATTGCTGTTGTTGACACTTTGTGCCGCTGCACAAGATAAAATCAGGAAGCAGAGAGTGAAACTTTGACGCGCCCATCGAAGAGGACCTGAAGGCATGAGCCTTCGAGGCGCATCCGAACTAGAGACACTGTGCTGATTCTGCCTAGACATGCCTAGACTGTTGACTGGAGCTACCGCACATGCTAGTGGCTACCCTGGGCAACTGTGAGACCTGCCAAGTTGGACAAAACAGCACAGTCATCAAAGCCGACTCACAACCGCTCGAGAAGCAAGCTACAGGGTGCGGATGCGATCGCTCTGAGCTTTGCTGCAAGACTGAAATCCCTCATCGCACAAAAAGAACACGACCGGCCTAGCTTGTCAGGCCTTGCCCTATACTTACAGTACATTCTCTTTGATCCCAGCTATGTGTTCCCCCAGGTCTGTGAGACATGGAGTTTCGCCAGTTTCGCCCATCCTCTTTCATCATCTCGCCTGCCTTGCAGGATGACACGTCGGTGTACATGGCCATGGGTATACCAAAGATGGTGCTCCTTGGCCTCCGGGTTGAGCCAAATGGTTCCCAAGCCTGGTGCCTCCTCGCCGGTGGCAGTCTGGATCGAATGACAACTGAAAAACGTAGGGTGTGAAGCAGAACGCCCACCAGTCAGATTTGTCTCCAATAAATAACTATAGCCCTAGAGATGCGGAAGGAGGAAGAAGAAAAAGAAGAAGACCGTTTGAAGCAACAAGGACACTAAAGCAAAAGTGGAATGGTTTGTACCCAAGGACACTAAAGCAAAAGTGGAATGGTTTGTACCCAATGAAAGGGGAACTCAGCACAATGCCGTCAAAAACCACCTTGGTGACAAATAGTCCGTAGCGGTAGTGGATCAACGACGAATACATGTTGTCATAGATGTATGGATCAGCCTTCACAAGAAGGTTTGTAGCCGGGGTTGTCAATTTCACCATCCAGTTTATACCAACCCACCCTGGGACAATGGCTTTGGAATGTGCATGTCCGCTCTCCTTCAATGTGACACTTTCTGGAATCGCTGAGTTGCTAAAGTACAAAGCGCTGAGCATCGTATGCAAAGAGGTTGCATCGTGTAGACACCTGCGATCACACAAGTATCGGTGGTCGCGAGACCTGACACCTACCCAGCGACCTGCATGGCCAAGAAACACCGACTTGTGTCACTTCTATCTCCGACACCAAACTGAAAGTGGATCTGTTTTTGAAAAAGATCCTGCCAACCAAACAGAAGCATCTGGGCCTACTGCACTTGCAATATTAAATATGGGATCACAGTTCTCAACACAAGGTATATAATTACCCAAAGGTGCTCATTGTTTTTGTTTCTCACGTACAAGTCTTACAGGAAATGGGATCATAGATATATATATATATATGGATATGATATGATATGATATGATATGATTCAGCACACACTTGAGATATTGTGTACGGAACTGACTGCGGTGCCACACGCCGGCCTAGGGTTCCAATTCCTAAGGGTACAGGTAAGGAAACCTAAAAGGAGGTGGAGGTCCATCCAGCGGAGGTCCCGAAGGTTTCAAGAGGCCAGCAACTCTAAAAGAAAATACCGATCGAGCGGACGACAAGGTGACGACGTTCGTGCAAAAAAGTCAAGTTCACAGTCTGAAGTGAATCACCGCTGCATTAGACGCTTACTGCAAAACACAGAAGTGGAACAGCTTGAAAACAGTTCACGTTGCAGGTACAGGAATGTGCGTCCACATTCCCTTCCGGCTGAATCCCGTAGCTTCGTTGGCATGGCTAGGGAAACAGCTGCCATGCCCCCTGCTAAAAATCCGAAAGGATCCCTATGGTTCCAAGGGTTACACACACACGCCTCCCCGAAGGGAGGCATGTGTGACCTCCATCCTGCCCGGAAAGGAGGTAGGCACATGTGCACGCAAAAAGGGACAGATGAAAATGAGAAGGACAAGACAGACAAAGGTGTGTGTGGTTGCCGATGAAAAGGAACCAAGTGAAGAGGGACAACCGATGAGCCAAACCTCATTGAAACGAACCTGGGCCACCTGAACCTTGCTGTAAGTAAAGTACGCGTGCGTGTGTGTGTACAAACTAAGGTCCGGACGATAGTGCGCGCAAGAGAAAGAAAGGATGAGGATGAAGACACATGAAGACAGAAAGACATGAAAGAAAAGAGGAAAAAAACCGTCAGTGGGGGCCGATGAAAGGGGAACCAAATGAACGGGGACAAACCGATGACAAACCAAACCTCATTAGAAAACCTGTTGCAGAAGCCGAGTTTGCTTGTAAACACGCCGCGCGCGAGGAAAGAGGGGGCAGGGGGAGGAAGAAAAGAAAGGGAAAGAAAGAAGGAGACAAAGGTGCTCCCAGCTACGACACATGCGTCCAGGGACACACCAAAAAGAAGGGCTCCCAGCTATGACGCAGCATCCAGGGACACCCAGAAAGGAGGGTGAAGAGAGGAAAGAGAGAAGGAAAGAAAGAGAGAGGGAGAGAAAGGGAGAGGAAAGGAAGGTGTTCCCAGCTACGAACAGTTGTCCAGGGACACACCAAAGGAAGAAAGGGGAGATCCTGAGTATTACATTCAGGAAAACCCCAGAAGGCAAAGAGAGGAAGGGGGAGGGAAGGGGGAGAAGGGGGTTAAGTTCTCCACAGGTTCCAATGAACCTAAAGTGCTTCGGTCGCTCTGACCACGTTGAGGCGTTAAGCCAGCTTGGACCGCTGCGGTCACGTACAGGCATGAGCCAACTTGGAATTCCAAAGATGAGACAAAGATCATCGTACGTACGGCCTAGGCCACCTTCGCCCGCTCTGGGCATCTACATCTCCGGGCAGGGGAGATAACGACGTACACCCGTTCGACGGGTCCACGGGAGGCACTCTGCGGGCTCATCCCGGGTTGGCACAAGGCCAATCACACTTGAGATATTGTGTACGGAACTGACTGCGGTGCCACACGCCGGCCTAGGGTTCCAATTCCTAAGGGTACAGGTAAGGAAACCTAAAAGGAGGTGGAGGTCCATCCAGCGGAGGTCCCGAAGGTTTCAAGAGGCCAGCAACTCTAAAAGAAAATACCGATCGAGCGGACGACAAGGTGACGACGTTCGTGCAAAAAAGTCAAGTTCACAATCTGAAGTGAATCACCGCTGCATTAGACGCTTACTGCAAAACACAGAAGTGGAACAGCTTGAAAACAGTTCACGTTGCAGGTACAGGAATGTGCGTCCACATTCCCTTCCGGCTGAATCCCGTAGCTTCGTTGGCATGGCTAGGGAAACAGCTGCCATGCCCCGTGCTAAAAATCCGAAAGGATCCCTATGATTCCAAGGGTTACACACACACACACATTGTGCCCTTGATTTCCAACTGGTCCGCTAAGCCTGTAGAACTCCACCGATTTGTTCGCAGCCAGTTGGTTCCAGGTAAAAGCTGAGAGCGCCTCTGCTGGAAATGTGCGCCAAGGCCATCAGGGAGGGGGGTTCTACAGTTCTACAAACTACAAAAATCTGCACCGTCTGCATAAAAGTTCATCTGCTGTCATTGCATTCCTGTGCGGGCGGTCTCTATATTTTGGCACGAAACCACACAGCCATATAGCAAGGGATTCTTTGCAGCTGGGTTACGGTTCAGTGATGCTTAGGTATATAATTACCCTGCAATGCCGTTCTACAGACACAAATTGGCAACCCCGGGTTCAAACTCTATAGAATCAAGGTCTCCCTGCTCAAAATGTCCCAAAACAAAATGTTTATAGATAGAATCGCGATTCCAGGTTGGCAGGGCAGTTGTCCAAAAACGAATATTCGCCAGGACAGTACACTCCCTTATAGAGTCCAAGGCACTCATCTACATCGTAACAATAAAGAACAACTCCGATGAACTCTCGGATAAATCTTGCAATGACTTGTAGGGAAATCCCGGATGAAGTTCTGCGCTGATATGTTGTTTGCAGAAAGTTTGCTCACCGGAAAATGTTCCGATCACATCCGATCAGATTGAAATGGCGTGCTCTTTCTGAAGGTCTGGCACTTTGCCTCCTCCTTCAGAGCCCCTGGATTCGGAGGGCTCCCAGCACTACCCTGAAGTACCACAATCTTCCCAGCCTTTGTGCCAAAGTTCGTTTCAGGGAGGTCATTTTTCCCGAGTCCCCCCCAAAAATACTCTACAGTATATAGAATCAAAGTGCTTCCCCTTTAAAGTGCCACAACACTGGAGAAGTACATAATGTTTGGAAATTGTCTATTGTCTGCCCCACTCAACCTTGAATAGACACATTGTACGAAAACAAAAACACCTCTTTTGAATCAGGACATGGCCACCAATGAAAGAATGCTCTTATTCGTACCCTCAACAAACTTCAGCCCCATGTCTCAGCGAAGTGCTCCAACATACAGGGAAAACCAAGCAACACCAACTGGTGACTCTGTGAAACAACACATGCTGTATAGATGTTCTATGCACACGGGAGACACAGTGCAAAAAGAACTTGGTTGCAATTTGCAAATCATGCTCACACCTCTGATCAGTGCAGCTGGTCCAGCCTCAGCGTCAAGTGCTTTGCCGTCCGCAAAGCATTCGGCGTCCTGCGACGCTGGTGAAGGTCCTTTGCGGCCTGAATTATGTCCGTAGCTCTTCTCAAGCCCTTACCTTCGCAGTTATGACCCCATCAATATCATCACTGTTTCAATCCTGACTTACACCTTGCGGACACTTCCAAACGACCGTAGGAAAACCTAGTGGTCCAAGTGGGCCGCTCGGCCTGGCCCAACGCTCGCACCAGCAAAGCAAGCGCCCCCACCACACGAGGCCACAAAGGCACAATGTTCATGGCCCAAGCACATGGGAGGAATATGGAGGAATCACCTTCCGATCATCTTCCTATGTCCGGTGTAAACTGTTGCGGGGTGACTGCTTGTAGTGTGTTGGAGATGTATTTGCAAACTCTGTCAAACTCTCTTGTTTGACTGCCGCTGTAGTGGGACTTCAAAAGTCTTCAAGTTGTGATCAGCCTATTATTATGATATTGCCTGAGTGCTTTTCACCTCATGCCCGCTAATCTGAGGAAAGTAGCATTGCATGACCTTTGTGCCATGACAGGTGTTCTTCAAGAGCTGAGGCTGCACGCAAACCCATCGGTCACTACTGCTGACCTTGGAACTGTAGATTGGGGTTTTGCAGTCGAGTCGAGCAGCCGGTATTTATATATATATATTATATATATATTGTTTTAAAAATATTATTACTAAAAATTGGAAGCAATGCATCCGCTTTTGACCGCAAGATCGAACTTGCACTCAGTGCGATTGGAAGGGTGAAGCTATGACAGGGGTTGACTCTATAGAACACCCTGTCGTAATGCAGTCCGCTGCACTTCTCAATAATCTCTCGCTTCCCGCATTGCAACAAAAGGATGCTTGGTTTGGAGGCCAGCATGGATTCTGAATCAACGATATTTGAGTCCCATACCTACTACAATGTGCTTTTAGAAGTGAATACAGTAGATAGTGTGTGGTGGCCAACCTGACTGGTTGATAGCCGATGATCACCATAAGGTCAATAAGGTCAATAGTGTTGAGATATCCTGAGGCTTTCAAAGTTCAAACACAACATTCTCAATCATTCTCATATCATCGAGAATGTCCATGTCCAATCGAGAAGTTACAGCCTGCACACGACCGCTGCAAATCAGTCCCTCCGAGCCTTCCCTTATGGATGACTCATCGGAGTCACAAGACTAATCGGAGTTCCGATAGAACTGCAACTCGAAAATCGGGGGAGTTTCTACAAACAAAGGACCGGCGAAAGAACCAAAAGGGTTGGACCACTGGACCAGCAGACCGATTTTTTTCTTGTCTCGCCTTCGGAAGGTCGTTCGCTATGATAACATTTGATGTCATTATGATAATATATATATATGTTATGATGTCTTATGATGTTTTATGTGATGTTCCTTTCTCAAAAGTCGCCTGGCCCCTTAATCTCTAGAAACCCCTTGTAGCAGTTGAGGAGGCATTTCGCAGGCACCCCACCTTAAATTCCGGCCTGGCCAAAGCCACCGCGGCACCAAGCCAACCTTTACCGGACTGAATTCGTCATGCTGAGACGGGCTCCAAAGAGGATGAAGTCAAGTGTGGCAGGTCAAAATTCAAAGTTGGGCTTGGAGTTTGCCGCGTGTACTCTCTGCATACTCCTATGATTTGCTTACAAAAGCCTAGCTCCTGGAAAAAAGATGAAAAAGCACATTCAATGAACAAATCGCTGTGATGGACTTCAAAACGTACTTGGCTCATCTTAGCTCAAGAAGTCTTCTTACCCTGCACATGGTGTCACCATTGACTTTGAAAAAAGCTGGAGGCTTCGTGATGATCTTCACTGCCACACAGTCCAGGGAAACCCACACCGCGCGAAAAAAAACGGGGCAGAAGCTTCAGCAGCCTGGAGGCGGTGTGGAAGAAACTGAGAAACTATTAGGGGCTCCTGGCATCGCTACTAGGAGCAAGGACGCTACGAACGGAACTCCTGGCCTTTACTAGGAACATCTAGGAGCAAGAAGCTACGAACGGAGCAAAGGGCATCGCTACTCGTAACAAAAAGCCACCGAGTTCGCCAAGTTTTGGGACTGGGGCGACATCAACGCTCGCAGGTCCGCTCCAAACGCGCGGTGCTCGGAAGAACGGGCATGTGACGGCATGTGGCTGCACGTGCGCCGGACGCAGCAATAAGCCGGCTTCTGTCCTTTAGTATCGTTAGTCCTAATCCTCAAAGGATGTTTGGCATGGGGCTAAAAACAAATCAAGAACAAGTCAATGGCTCCACAACACTCAAGTCGATCTGCAGCCTGGACACTCTTTACAAGTCCGCTTTGCTGGGCCTGTCCTCACACGTGCTGCATGGTTAGAAAGTGCTGGCTTCAGACAACAAGCACGCAGCATACAGCTGTTTTCCTCACTAGGCTAGGATTAGGAGATACAGTAGTGTCCAGCTCAGTCCACTCTGTAAAGCAAGAAAAACCGTATGTCGAGTCAATGTAATGTGATCATTTCAAACAAGTCCAAGTAACGGCGTCCTTCTTACAACAACCTAACAAAGTGTGTCTCAAACCTGTGATACTTGGCCTAGAACTGCACGGCCCTACAGTTGGACAACACCCCGTCATTGGAGCCTCCTCATCTGGAGCTTCCTGCTTGCCGGCAAGGCCGTAAAAAACAAAATAAGAAGAAATCTGGTGCTTCAAGCATGTCCCTTTGACGTCACACCCAGCCAGACACTGGAGGACGTTTTATTCTTCTATCATCTTCTATCCACGGCACGGCACGAAAAAAGTAGGGAATCTCTCACACTCCAACAACCAAAAACATAGACTCTTCATCACAGCCAGCGACAGGTCGGGCGCGACCTCGTCTTTTTTGTCTTTCGTTGGAGACATTGGGGCCTCCTGGCGGAGCATCTTCCTTCTCATGTTCGAGTTTTGCTGAATTGCTAATGCCCTCCAACATGGGCTGGCTGTTGCTGTAGCCATCTGTAGCCTAAGGTGTCTGCAAGGGTGAGCAAAAGTGCTCCAAGTAGGGGACACAGTGTCGGAGACTGATCACTTCGACAAATGGACCCTTGTTCTCCCAGGCCTCTGGGATGACTCCTTGTTCTAGATCTTCTTTTGGAGTTTTCCCGTCGCTGGATTGTCCCGATCCCTCAGTGACGCGGCAGTGACGCGGCACGGCATGGAAGAACATGCTTCCTTGGGAGCCGACAGATCGCTTGAGAACTCGCTCCAAGCTCTTCAAGCTTGTGTAAGCCTGTGGGGAAAAAAGGCAAAAACACCGATCCAAATCGGCACGGAAGGGTCACTTGCTGCAGGCCTTGCGCAAAGATCCCAGCAGCGCAGGTCGCTTCTCTTTTTCAGGGTCTATCTCCTGGCGGGAACGTCAAAAGCAAAAGCCGAAAACAAGCACAAGATATCACGAGGATACGTTGTCTGAAAGAATCCCGCCATCTTATATACCGTTTGACTACACTCCCAATTGACCTATCCAAAAGATATCACCCAGCCTGTATCGCCTGTATCATCCTGTACCTATATCCTTCACACAAAATCACTTGGTTCCAAAAGATCGAAAGGGTCCTGAATAGACTGGCCCTAACCCGTTGAGTCAACCAACCCGCATGAAGCGGAACTGAGGACCGTGCCATGGGAGCTTCAGGCTCCGGCTCCTTCCTGTGCCTAGGCTTGGCTGGAACCAAACTCGGAGCTCAAAACTTCAAGCCATAGCCGTTGTCTGGAGCCATTCAGCCAATACCAGCCATGTTGCGTGGGCGAATCGCTCTGTGTCAAGGCCAAAGAGGTTTGGAGTTCGGTCATCTTATCCTGTGGGCACCGCAGTCCAAGGGAGACAGTCAGAGCCGCTGAGTCGCTGCAGGTCTCAACCAAACTACTTCAAAGAGCATCGAAACTACCAAAAAAACGGCTGCATCTTACACCTTCTTCGCAGCACCTGTAGCCTGTCATCTGGCAATCAAAGCTCGAAAGCAGCCTGGAAGCGTGCACGGGTAGCAAGTAGCACCTTCACACAGGTCATCTGCAAGCTTACAAAGCTGCTGATGAGCTGTCAGTCTTTTTGGAAGTTGCTTCATGTTCACCGTGCGAAACGATGTAGACTTCTTCAGGCTCGTAGTGTTCTTGGGCACAGATTCTTCTTTTTGGAAAGTCAGTTGGCGCAAACCCTGTGCCAAAGCTCTAAAGGGCCGGATCATTCATCAGGCCGCATCAATACTCACATCTCTGATCCAGGACATCTACAAGATTTTTACAAATTTACAAGTGTCCCCTTCTAATAGCAAATGTTTCTTACTTTGGCTCAGCTAGGTTTATGACTTACAGCATGGCCAGTCTTGAAAACAAGGCTGCGGCGCCTCCTCCACAGCATTGGTCAGAAAGGTGCGTACATTCTTGAACCCTGCTTGACGCCTCACCTTGGCAATCTGTTGGTTTTGGATGCTGGATGGATTCAGAACCAGTTGGTGAAAGCATGTGAACACCAGGATTTTCATGGATTTTTCTCGTTTCGCGTCAGTCAGGTAGTAACTGGCAGTTTTGGCCAACTATGCCAACTCCGATCGACCAGGTTCCTCTCACTGAGCCATGGCACAAGTTCCTCGATCATCTGTTTGTCGGATTCCTGAGCAAGGAAAATAAACTCCCACAGAAATAACCAGCATAACAAAGCTACCAATGTTTTCATACTCATCTGCGTTGCATGCAGTTAAGTTTCCCGATAAATCTAGGAACCAAATGAATAGTGCGAGCGCTTCTTCAAGGAAGCTCCCCCCGCCCTCAGGCTGGGAGAGCTTCCTTGAAGAAGCGTGGGCTATCCTGCGTCCTGTCCGTAGTAGCGTACAAGTAGCTACTAGCTACTGCTAGCTTCTACTAGCTACCTCTAGCTCTACGGCCTTTCCGCGCCTTGCTGGCTCTGGCCTCCCGGAGATCCAAGTTGGCCAATTTGTGGCTCACTTTGATGGCCAAGTCGAAGGAGCCGTTGCCCTTGTTCATCACTCCGTTCCTCGGTCTACGTTGAGGAAAGGGGAGACGGTCTTGACATGTCTTGACCATTCCTTGCAGTGATGGCCACATATTCCACATACTTTCAAGTAAGACCAGTGAGTAACAAATCTATACAAATCGCATCTACCAACTTGACAATCTTCCATACATAGATCGATCTAATTATGGGGTAACAAACTCTACGAAGATCTGGTGAGTTGAAGGACCAGAAACAACTGTTTGAAGGGCACCAACTTCCATATGAAACCATCTGGGAACCGAAAAGAAGCCGTTCTTCCGCGTCTGGACAGACGCGGAAGTAGACCAAGGCACGCCGAGCAAAGCATCAAGCCGGCAAAGGTGTCCCGCGTCTGTTCTGGGCGGGGGTGTGACACCGAGTACCGCGGCCAGGCGGTGTCGACCTCACCTTTCGGTGAGGCCAACACGCCGGTTTGGTGAGAGGGTTGTGCAAGGTTCCTTGAGGCAGAGCTGATGAATTGAATGCTGGGAAAACCTTTGGGGTATTTGGGGGTCCTTATTTGGATCGGACCAAACACCCCTGCACAGATTTATGAAAGAACTCCTTTGCTTGGTTAGCTGTTTGGCTGGCTACAACACTGCTTAAATCCACTTGAGGCATCCGAGTACAGGGGCGGTCCCTTGGTGGTGCTGAGACACACAAAGCATTGCCCTCTCTGAGCACCGGGCTGAAGTGATGCGTCTGAAGCAGCTCAAAGAGGCACCTGGGACGAACACCACTGCGTGCGCGAGAGCCACCTTGTCTTACAAGCCTGAAGGAACAGCGATACCATCGATGGAATCCTCTGCTTTTACTTACTGGGGCAAGCGATCTCACGTATTCCATGCCTTTAAAGGCTTCTTGACTCCTGGATGACCACAGCAAGCCAGCAAATCTTGCTTTTTGGAACTTGAAAAATAACTATAACACACTCGTTGGCATCCGCAGCTGGCATGCCCAGCTTGATGAGGCTTGCAAATGCTTTGCAAAGATAGTTACATCTGACACATGGCCTTTCCATGCCTTTCCCATCTTCCTCAAATCATAGCCTTTCCACATGGCCCTATCTTTCCTATCTGACAGCCACAATTCGCCCCCTATCGTCCTCCATCGTCATCGTTCAAGGCACCAAGATCGCGTCAAAGGCAGCGCGTCTTCGTCGAAGACCATCACCGTCCCTCTGCCTTGGCCGACGTGTCCAACGGTCTTCTCTGCGTCACTTCTCCCGGTCAAAGGATGGTTGTCACCCTTTTCACTTTTCGTGTGAAAGCTGCCTTGTGCCCTTCCTCCGCCTATCCAAATAGAAGGACCAGATGCAAGCATCGCTTCTCATCGCCAAATAGAAGGAGGACTCATCCCAGTTCTTCCCAACTTCCTGCCACAAAACGGGCGTTTCTGCCGATTAGTCCGGTGGTGCTTTGGAATCAAAGAACAAGGCCAAAAAAGGGGCCTTGTGGTTTGCAGGCTGTTCACAGAAGTATCTAAGAATATGAAGACTATGTGCAGGCCATACAAGAATCGGGTTGCCTCTTCGACTGCCCATTGATTGTTGCTGAAGCTGCAAATCCAATAGGGCCTCAGTGCGACATTCGGCAATATGCTTCAAAGAACATGCTTTGCCCCGCTTCCTGGCAGGACTGTCTAAGCTTTTGGATTTCACCCCAATTTGCCACTCAGCCAGAATGTCAGCGTTACTACTCCAAAAACAACATTGTCAGAGTGACCTTCCTCACCCACCCCCAGCGCGAGCATTTGGGCCGATGAGGCACTGCTGGGAGGGCCTGCGTCCTGCAAGTGAATGGCGGAAACACCATGATCGTCCATGATCTCGGTAGATTTCTGTCTCAGCCAGATGCTCAATGATGAAAGGAGTTGGCATTTAATATGATTAATATAGGGAATCTGGTGACCTGCCATCGGTTTTCACCCATTGGTCATGCCAAAGTGTGTTGGTTAAACCTAGGGGGTCATAACCTCGCTCGTTGGACACTGCAATCGCTGTGTTGCGGATGTGGCCCCTCATCGTCCGTCCTAGTATTGGGCACTGATCGCTGTGCTTGCCTTATTGGTAGAAGGCAATGGACCAGGCAGGACTCAAGTCCAGCAGAATGACACGGCAAGTTATACATGACCATGGCGCAACCTGCTCCTCACAGAATTGTTAATTGGTGGATCAATCATGGACATCCAATCATCACAGTCCGGTACGCATCATTTGTACCACAGCATGACTCAGAATATGCTAGCTGCTAGCCTTGAGTGATGCGATGTATGCTCTATTCATGTGATGTAAGCACGGTCTGAGAACCATGCTAATGGTGTCCACAAAGTGACGGAAAGATGTCCTGCAGAGTATCTACCAGCTGTCTCAGAAAAGAGTGTTTCAACAGCGGCAAACTTCTTCACAGCCTGACCTCAACTATGATATTTTGGCCACTGAACTATCGAAGTCTTCTTAAATCTTGCCATCCCCTCTACAACCAGAAACTCCAGAAGGCTCGCTGTCATGTCAAAATGCGCTTCTCGCTCCAATTTGTTTGAACAGTCAATGCTTTTCCCACTGCCGCCGCCCAGTCGGTCCCCCAGTAGTGGGACACGAACCAGGTCACTGTGGTCGGGCCAGCCAACTCCGCATACGAGAGTTTGAATGGGTGCGTCAGCTGGAGAATGATGTTGTGGCACACGTAGTACCTAAGGCACCCCAAATGGTGGGCCGGTCACACTCGAAATATGGAAATCGCCACTATAATTAATCCACTATATAAGTGCTTTGGGTTTCGCAAAGGCACGATCTGAAACGATACCTGGCACCCCCCAGGAAGCAACGTGAGGACAAAAGCCGAGCGGCATCGTTCGGTGTGAGCCATGATAGCCGTGAAAGTAGTAGTCAAACTCTTTCAACTGTCCTGGAAGCACTACGGTCGAACTGCAGACAGCATCGTCAAAGCAATCAAGACCAAAGATCCAATATGACTATTCAATCATCCACTGCCTTTGTCCATATGCGTCCCATTCCCATCACCCCCAAGCGACGCAGCGACGGGGTCGCACTTCCCGTCCTGCGGTGATGGCCCGAGATGGCCCCCGTGGGCATCGAGCCTGAGCCACCATCGAAATCGTCCAAGGCGATGCTACAGAAAAAAAAAGACTAAGAAGATGTTAGAAGAAGAAGATGTAGATGTGGAAGGCTTATTGAAAGATCTTCTTATTGAAACATCATAAGAAAATGTTGGAAGTCTGATGTGGAAGGCTTCGGCCACTTCTCTTTAGTCCATCAGGGCTTGCTCAGTTGATCTGCAGTGAAGAATTCTAATTTTATGATATTTTATGTGGGGAAACTTTCAGCATGATCACATGCATATGTTAATTTACAATCATCTCTACTTCTTTTGCACGTTCAACAAAACGTTGAATATGTATATTGCATATTGTAAAGTACACTCCATGTACTTGAGGTTCAGCTGTCAACTTGTGTTTTCCGAATCCTTTTATCCGCCAGAGGGCGGGTACTCAAGAGCACAGCTTCGGCCGCGAGAAAAGGAGACTTCGTCCGCTCCTTTCGTTTCTGGGGAACTTCGTGTGTCCACAGAACCTGCTACCACCGCAGTTGCATGGTAGCGGAGCCCCAACCGGGGCTCCAGACACGCTACCGCTGCGCACTCCACTTGCACCACAACAACTGAACATACACACCACTAGCAACAACACCTCACTGAACACCACTCCACAGACACGACTGCTCCAGCACCCATGGCTGGCACCTCGACCTTAGACACCACCAGCCTGAGGGATAGCTTTATCCCGCAGTTTGACGGCCAGCCCCAGTCCTACAGAGAATGGAGGAAGAGAATAGCAATCTACCACCACAAGATGACCCTCCAGAAAAGATCCGGTGAGAGCCTGCTCAATCTCATCGGAAGCTTGCAGGGTGCTGCATGGAAAGTCGTTGAAGACTACGATCTCAAGAAGATCGAGAAGGAGGGAGCATTCGATGAGTTGATGGGCATGTTGGATAAGGCCTTCGCCTATGACGACAGAGTTCAAATGCCACAGGATTTTGAGAACTTCTTCACCCACAACCTGCGCAAACCTGGCTCCACACTTTTGCAGTTCTGCGCAGAGTTTGATGAGAAACTTCGACGCCTTCAAGCTCACGGCGTGAAGTTGCCGACAACTGTGCAGGGCTGGTTTCTTCTCAAAAAGGCCAATGTGACCAGGGAGCAGCGACAACTTGTGCTCACTCATGCACCCGGCCTCGAGAGAAACAAGGTCCAAGAAGCCTTGTACTTGTTTCTTGGCCAGGATCACAAAGCAGCCGTGGTCCCTGAACGTCGTCCCTTCGGACGAGGTAAGGGGCACAAAGCCTTTGTGGCTGAAGAAGGCTGGGATGACCTCGATGAAGCCTTCTTTCAAGACGATCACGGCTGGGAAGATGACTATGAGGCTCAGGCCATTGAATCCTGGCAGGATGACGACTTCGGCTTCGATCAAGAGGCCGGTTACTACCAGTACGACAATGAGCATGAGGATGAAGAAGAAGGTTTTGTCGCCACCTCTGATGGCCCCTGGGACATCGATGAATATGACTCAGCCTACGCCAGCTACCTGGATGCCAGAAAGAGGTTTTCAGATTTGAAGTTGAGTCGAGGCTACTTGCCCATAGTTGCCTTGCAAGATGACACCAACCCATCCTCGATTCCCAGTTCTCCACAGCGCCTCCACAAGGGCAAGGGTCCTCGAAAGGGGAAAGGCGGCAAAAAGGGCCGCTCCAGCACCATCAAGTATCCCTCTCGACCGGGAGGGAAGGCTCCAGATCCCAAGGCTCGTTCATTCGCAGCCATCCAGTGTTTGCGCTGCGGCGCATCCGGCCACATGGCCGCCAACTGTCCAAAGAAGGGCACCTCGACGAGTTCCGGTCCTTCTGTGGTCAGCTCACCAGCCAAGCGACAGCACACGGAAGGCATGGCCGCAAACACCACCCCCATAGATGAACATGGTCATGTGATTTTTGAGGATCTCCAAGGTCGACAGCGTGTTGACTGCACCATGATTGACCCTGGTGCAAGCGCCTTTCTGATGGGCACCGGACCGTTTGAGCGCTACATCCAACACCTTCAAGAGCTGCAGTATCCAGTCGATGACATTCAGATGACTTCCATCAAGCGTGTTTTTCATTTTGGTGGAGACCACAGTGTGAGTTGTCATTGGAAAGCTAGGTTGCCTGTGTTTTTCAACCACAACTATGGCTATGTCACTGGATTTGTCATCCCAGGTGAGACGCCTATGTTGATGGGTCGCCCTATCCTTGAGGCTCTTGGTTTGACGCTCAACTTTCAAAAGAAGCTGTTGATGTGGGAAGACTCTCCCTGGCAGGACATCACCATCGGTCGACATGGGGAATACCTGTTGCCTCTGACAGCCGACTTCCAACCTGACATGCTCACTCGGCCACCGGCGTTCGACCTTGTCCTGGCAGATTCCGCCCTCCACGAGGATGTTGAGCCCTTCAAGACCTACAAGAGTCAGGAGGGGGTCTCTCAGGACGCCGGTCAGACGCCTGTGGCAGAGGGGAGCCGGAAGATCGTGCTGAAAGACTGGAAGCGCATTGACCATGCGCTCAACCACACAGAGCGCCAACTTCAGGCCATGGTTACTTCGGAACTTCATGCTCCACCCCGACCACGGTTGATTTGGGAGGTCTATGCTGGCGCCTCCAGAGTGTCAGCAATCGCAGAAACGTTGGGCTGCAAAGTTGAAGTTTTTGGATATGAGACCGGTTGGGACTTCGACGACCCCTCACACAGAGCAGCCTTTCTTCGCAAACAGCAGGATGAACTCCCTGATGTGATTTTCCCGGCTCCCAAATGCAGTCTGTGGAGCAAGATGCAAGCTCTGGCAGCCAACACGCCCGAGCGAAAAGAAAAGTTGCAAGAAGAACGCCAATGGCATCATGATGTACATCTTCGTTTTGTCCGGCAGATTTACCGCCGACAGGTCCTTGGTGCTCGCCATGCCCATTTGGAACAACCCAAAGAGGCCTTGTCTTGGTACACCAAGGCACTTCAGAGCTTGCCAGGCTATCATGTGGTTTTTCATCAATGTGCCTACGGTGCCTGTTGCAAGGACATTGACAACAGTTGGAAGCTTGTTCTCAAACCTACAGCCCTTCGCACCACAAAGAGAGCTATGGCACAATCGATGAACTTGTTGTGTGACAAGAGCCACACTCATTGCACCTTGGGAGGACGCATGCCTGGTGGACGCCTTCGCACCAAGTACCTTGAGGACTATCAGCCGGCCATGGCATCAGTCCTTGCTGTAGCCCTGGCTGCCGAAGAGACACCCCAGGCTTGGAACCAGGCCTACACCCTTGAGGACAGTCAGCCAGTTCGCTCACATCAAGGACGTCTCATCCAACTTTTGACGACCAACAAACAAGAGGCTGTTCGTGTGATCCAGAAACTACATAGAAACCTTGGCCACCCAAGTGCTGAGAAGCTCACCGACCTTTTGGAAGTCAGAGGCGCTTCTCCTGAGGTTCTTGAAGTCGCACGTCAATATCATTGTGCCACCTGTGACATGTTCAAGAAGCCTGCACAAGCATCTCCGAGCTCGGCCAAGGTGGTCACAACCTTCAATGATCAGCTACAGTGTGACGTGTTTTGGATCAAGAGTGGACAAAACAAGTTTCCAATCCTCTCCATGATTGATGCAGCCACCAAATGGCAAGCCGCCACCTTGTTGCAAGCTGAGAGGGGTGATTGTTTGATCGATGCTCTTCAGCGTTGTTGGCTTGCTCTTTTTGGTCCTCCTGCTCAACTCATCACTGACGAAGGAAGAGGTTGGCTTTCTGATGAGTTCACTCGCTTCACTGATGAACTTGCTCTCCAACACACCGTTGCACCTGGTGAAGCACATGAACGATTGGCGTTGGTCGAAAGACGCCACGCTGTTCTTCGCAAAAGCTGTGAACTGTACTTGCGAGAAACTGCTCAAGAAGGAGGTTCTGCAATCCGAGAAGCCTTAATCTATGTGGTTCCTCAGTTGAATGCTCAGCCAAACGCTTCTGGCTACAGTCCTTCTCAATGGCTTTTGGGTCAACAGCCCCACTTTCCTGGAGACCTTCTCAACCCTCATTTGTCACCACTTCACCTAGAAGGCTCCAAGGGCTTTGGAGATGAGCTGCAAAAGCGAGCAACTGCTCGCATGGCCATTGTGCAGACAGACATCGATCGCCGTCTTCGGCGAGGCCTCCTCCGAAAGTACTTCGGCGCCAGCACTGTTTTCCAGCCTGGTCAACTTTGCTACTACTGGCGAGATGCCAGAGCGGCTGACCTGGTCAAGGTCAGATGGAAAGGCCCCGCAAGAGTCCTGATGCGAGAAGATGGTGACGATGGCAAACCCTCTCTCTACTGGATCAGCCACAAGACCCAGTTGCTCCGTTGTGCACCTCATCACCTGCGACCAGCCTTGGAGAAGGAGACTGACACCCTGATCAACGGCGTCCAAGAAGCAAAGAAGGCTATGTCAGAGCTGAAGAGCAAAGGAGTCACCAGACTTTTGGATCTCAATGTGGCCAATCGACGTCGCATCGAAGACTTAGAGTCGGAAGAGGAGGAGATTGAACAAGAAATGGAAGAAGAAGAGGAAGACTTGCAGCCTCCTGTGCAAAGACGCCGACTTGAAGCACCAATTGGTTCACCACAAGCTGTAGCACCTGCGCTCAATGACGCCACTCAGCCTGCGCCAGATGATGAACCAATACAGTCCGAACCGGATTTGGAGTACGCCCCTACATCCCCTGCACACAGTCAGCAAGGGGTTGAACCAGAACAACAGGCTCCACCAACCACAAGTCCGGCGCCACTTGCATTACCACTTGAGGCACTACCAGCAGTTCCAGAGAACCAACCGGACACACCTTCTCTGAACGAACCATCCAGAGAACCCAGTCCGCCTCACTCAAGGGCCAGCCAGAACCTTCCAGCGTCCCAGCTGGACCCAGACACAGAGGCTCTGTACCAGCCAGCTCAACCTGGTGAGCGTTTTGAGCTGACGAGACGACGATACGACCAACAAGAGACCATCTCCTTCGGCAATCGACGCTATCGTGGCATCCCTCAGACATCACAACCAGAAACAACCAGCACCTCCAACCACCGAGCCGGTCCCTATGACAAGCCATCCACATCGGGCATTGACGATGTCATCGGACACAGTTTTGAGGTCGATGCAGTTGACCCTTCGTTCCTTCCGCCCGGATGGCACATGGAAGATGGCTTCATCACCATGGACCGCAGTCCCCAAGACTACTGGGAGGTGAAAGCAGGTTGTTTGATTCGCCACCACGTCGTGCCTCGACGAACCAAGTTCGGCCTTCAACAGCTCAACAAAAGAGAGCTCCAACATCTTCCAGTCTCTCTGCAAAAGCTGGACTCCATCCGCATCACTGTGCGCAAAACAGGCCAAGAGCTCAAGCAGGAATCTGATGTTTGGCAAAATGGAGCTGGTACCCCAACCAGAAAAGCCTGGACTGGTGTCACAATCTTCCAGATCAACGGAGACACTCGTAAGGAGATGGGCATGACTGTGACTACCCATGACACCCAGTCAGCCAAGCAGTTGGGCCGAAAGCAAAAGGCTATGGCCAACAAGAAGATGCAGAAAAACAAAGGCGAAATCAGGGAGCGTGAACTGTCCCTGGAACATCGCCTGCTCTTCCAACAGGCCAAGCAAAAAGAGTTGTCTTCTTTTTTTGAAAACGGAGTGTGGAGTTTTCAGACCACCAAGGAAGCCACACCCGAAAGGAAACTCGCAAGCAGAATGCTGCTCAAATGGAGCAAGAATGCCGACGGCAGTCCCCGAGCAAAGGCTCGTCTGGTGGTGAGGGGATACGCTGACGTTGATGCATTGGCAGGTTCACTCGAAACCTCCTCACCTGCATCCACTCGCCTCGGCAGAAATCTGTTTTTGAGTTTGAGTAGCTGCCTCGGATGGACCGGATGGTCCGCCGATGTTTCAACTGCCTTTTTGCAAGGCCTTCCACAAGAACGGAAGTTATGGGTGAAGTTGCCGTCCGATGCACTGGCATTGTTGGGCGCAGACTCCAACACAAGAATGTTCCTCCACAAACCAGTGTACGGGCAACTGGACGCACCTCGTCGATGGTTTTTGGAAGCCAGCTCACGCCTCAAGCAGCTCGGATGGGAACAGCACTCCCTTGACCCCTGTTTTTGGAGAATGTTTGAGCCACAAGACGGTGATGCCTCCACACCAAAGTTGGTGGGACTTCTTTGTTTACATGTAGATGACATGTTGGGTGGCGGTGACAAAAACTCAGCTGTCTACTGCCGCATGGAGACCGAAATCAAGAAGATGTTCAATTTCCGCACCTGGCAGCAAGATGAGTCTTTTGAATACTGTGGCGCGGACATGTCTCGGTCGACTGACGGCACTTGGACTATGAGCCACCAGAAGTTCTTTGGAAAGGTCAAGCCCTTGACCATTGAGAAAGGCCGCCAAACTCACTCACCAATGACCCCAAAAGAGCAAAGCTTGCTCAGAGGTCTCTTGGGGAGCCTCCAATGGCCAGCAGTTCAGTCGAGCCCACACCTTTTGGCCAGCACCTCAATCCTTTCAGGCGAAATGAGCACCGGTCTAGCAGCACCACTTTTTGAAGCTAACAAGCTCCTAAGATTTGCCAAGGACAACAGCGATGTGACCCTGCGCTATCCACCCCCTTGGCGCAATCCAAGACCTCCGACTCAGCTGCGTGTTCGACGCAGCCCACGGAGTCAGACATGACGGCAGCAGCCAAGGTGGTTTCATCTGCCTCCTGACTCACAAGGAAGCCTTCGAAGGTGCAGAGACACCCTACCATGTCTTGGACTGGAAGTCCATGAAGCTTCCAAGGGTCGCCAGAAGTTCACTGGCTGCTGAGGCCCAAGCCTCAAGTGCTGCTGCAGACAATGTCGAGTTCATTGTTCGCTTTTGGAATGAGCTGTTCAATCCTCAGCTCGAGTTGAAAACCAACCTGGCCCTGTCAGAGAGCTCACTTCAACCAGTGTTGATTACAGATGCTAAAGCTCTGTACGACACCTACCATAGAGATGCTTTCAACCATGGCTCCAACGACAAACGCACAGCCCTGGAAGTGAAAGTGACCCGCCAACAAGTTGAGAGTTTTGGCGGAAGACTCAAATGGGTCAGCTCTGAACGCCAATACGGCGACGGACTGACAAAGCTGTCAGCAAGGCAGCTCCTGGCCGACAGACTCAGACACGGATCCATCAAGTACACTTGGGATCCAACATACACAGCGGCAAAGAAGAAGCCGCTAGAAAGCCGATGGAGCAGTCGAAACGAGTTCACAACCACAGGACAACATGACACAACCACTTACAACTCACAACCACAACACCAAGTTCCACTACAAGCCACAATGGACGAGCACACGTCCCTGGAGCAGGAGTCACCACTACTCGAGGTTCCCCAGTCTGCCAATCTCAAAGAGATTGAAGTAGCCGGATCCGCTGTAGGTAGCATGCCTCACAGCCATGGACGTGCGCTTTTTGCGCTGCTGCTGATGTCGGCCCTCTCGCCGGCACACGCCGCCAGTGGTGATGAGAAGCCACTAGGACCTGGATGGCTCTGGTGGTTGATCATGGTTTTTGTTGCTGCAGCAAGCTGCCTTTTGGGTCACTGGCTCACACGAAGGCGGAACACGCCCATCGTGAAGAACTTGACGGACTCGCTCCAAGAGGCAGTGAAACTCCGAGATGAAGCCCTGGATTCCATGATTCTCTACCGGCAACGTGCCATTGAGAATCAGAAAGCTGCGCGTGAACAACGCATAGCCAACGAGCTTGTTTTGCAAGAACTGGACCAGGCTCGCTCGGAACTACAAGAGTTGCAACAACGACACCACCACAGAGGTCCTCCACTCACGCCCCAGGAAGAAGCAGATCGCCGCATAGCAGCTGAATCTCACTATCGTGAGACACTGTTGGACGCCAAGGGTCTTCTCCAGAGATGCTGGCGAGAAATGGTGGAACACGCACGGACCTGTCCACTGAGAGACGAAGTCTTCATGGCCTCACGAGGTCGTGTCTGGCACCACAACCCAGACTGTCCGGTGCTTAACCGACAAGCACTGAGTGTCCGTCCTGTGAGCTACTGCACCACCTGTGCTTCACAAGCGGTACCACCGGATGTTCGCCACGCTCAAAGCCGACGAACCCTGAACGAAGACCTGCACATGTTTTTCACTCACCACGGCATCATCCACTACCGACAACCAGCACCACGTTTTCCAGTGGATGCACGGTTGGCCAGGACCATGGCCACCAGAGATGCAAGCAGCTGGGCTAGTTCCGCCCAATGAGGACAGCTGAATTTTCTCAGTTTCTCCCCCCTTTTAGACTGTAAAGTACACTCCATGTACTTGAGGTTCAGCTGTCAACTTGTGTTTTCCGAATCCTTTCATCCGCCAGAGGGCGGGTACTCAAGAGCACAGCTTCGGCCGCGAGAAAAGGAGACTTCGTCCGCTCCTTTCGTTTCTGGGGAACTTCGTGTGTCCACAGAACCTGCTACCACCGCAGTTGCACATATATATATATATATATGTATATCCAATGGATTCTAAAGGTGTATCAATATGATTACTTTCTTGCCTATGTCCATTGCCCAAACTTCAGCCATGTAGCTGGATTGGGATTCTTCGTCTTCAGCCTCTGGATGAAGCTTCTGATGTCCTGCAAATCTGCTCATCATTTGTTGAACATTGAACAAAATTCACACACCTGTGGACATTACGAGTAGCATGGTCTGTTGGAGACAAACAGTTCTGTTGGCAGGAACGCGGATCTACTACTGACAGGGTATCGCAGCTGGTGCAGGAAAGACTGTTCATCAGTTGAGTAGGGCCACTTCGAGCAGTGCCAAGGTCCAAAGACTTGCTCTTCAGTCGGCCAAATGCACGGCTTGTTGAACCCCCAAATCACGTGCTTTTCAAAAAGGCAGTCCTACTGAAGTCAGACATGTTTGCACCATATCTTGCACCACCAACGATCGAACAAACAGATTCTCCGCATGCCGAAAAAATGCCTCCCCGCACAGGCCTTTTTCAGGCGCGTTCGCGCCAGGTTCTTGTAGCGGCAGCTGTGCAACATGATCGAGATGAGGCAGCCGATCGCCACATGAAGGCTACCTGATCGCATGTGGCGATGGCTGATGATGGCTGTGGGTCCAACATGTTCGACCCAGCCATCCCCTTACAAAAAAGGAACACCTTTGTTGTGTTAGGTTCACCTCTGTTGTTTCATGTTTTGTGGGGAAGGTGTCAGGTTGCCTGAAAGTGACCCGTAGCTATGAGGGAATGAACTTCTACCTTTCAAAGGTTGCATCGCCACATTTCACAAGTTCAAGAGCTGCGCCCTGCGCCCAACTCTCTCAGCCCGCCACTGGTGCTTGGCAGGAACTTTGTGGCGCTGCTGTTCAAGTAGGCCAGCAAAGCTGCGAGCCGGTTGCTCTACACTCTAGACGTGATGGAGTCGAAGACACAGGAGACAAATCGATGATGACAGAACCTGATTCTGGTCAGTGACGTCAGGGCATTCCAGTCCCTCTTCTATCTGTGATAGTTCAACTCGTGAAGGACTGAAAAACATGCATGTAGCGCACCCTAAAGAAGGCCAAAAACAACCAGTGTGGAATCATCAGGAAGGGTCGATGCCATCTTTTCACCCCCAGAATCACCTGCGTAGCCAGCAATCGGCAAGATCGTCCAAACGATGAAGGGCAGGCCAAACATCCTTGGCCAAGTGGGTCTGCTACCATCTACTACCTACCAGCTACCAACCATCATTCGTCAAGAATTCGGACAGTGACAAATCCAAGTCAAGAGTTTGTTGCGAACATTGCCACTTTGTTGGGTACGGCCAGAAACTGGAATGCCTACCAGCCCACCAGCGCAAGCTCAGTTCTATTGATTTACCACTTAGGTCCGGAATCCCAGCGTTTCCGGCCATGTCCAACATCGGGGAAGCGTTTCAGCGTGAAGACAAGGCACCCCATGCGCAGCATAGCATGCTGGTGCTTTACCTGACGTGCAATCGCTTCACCAACCCACGTTCCAATGCAATTAACATAGGAAATGAAGTCTTTCTGGTTATGTTGGCAAACTGATGGCAATCGGCAAACTGATGTTGATCACTGTGAATTGTTCCTTTGACAGCTCTTCAGAGCTGTTGCCCATATCGCTTGAACCCGGCACATGTTGTCCGGCGTTGCGGGCCTGGACATAACCCGTTGAAGAGTCATGATTGCTGCTCACGGGTGTTCCGTCCTCCCCAGGACGGATGCGGAACCGCACATCAACAGGCCCCGTCTCACACCGTGTAAACTCAACATGGACAATCAGAAGGTTTTTTTCAAACTGACCTGCAGTGGAGTACACGTTTGCAAATGTGCAAGGAAACCAATTCAGCAGCTCAGTCCAGATTCAGCAACAAGAGCTCATGATGAGTCAAACCTTCCACTTTGAAGTCAAAGCGCCTCATGCTGACAAAGGATCCCCGGGACACTGCTCTTCAGGTCCTATGAAAGACATCCCAACAAAAAACTGGCTCATCAGGGACGGCGGAAAACAAACCTTCCAACCGCAACCTCTGAGTTCACTTTACAAACGAGCGAAACATGAACAGAAACTCGAACAGTCTGAAGTGTCCGGTGGAAGAGTCGTACGGAGCCGTGCCGTGCGTCACAGTGCCGCTGAGAAGCTTCGTGTCTAAACGTGGGTCACCGGTTCCACGGAAGTAGATGGTAGCGCGTTGACCCCTGCGGCCCAGTCCGACAGTTCGGCATCAGGTCAAGTTAGCTGGGATGGAACACACGTTGAAACTTCGTCTGGAGCAGTGACGGGCGAGCCATGGCGTCCCAAGACGCTGTCTCTAATCTGAAAGCGAGTTGAAGGGGCTCAAAACATTCATCCTCGGGGCGACCCTCACAGCATCGCTACCCTTCCCAGAGCCGTCCTCAAGAGGAAGTGGTTCCCATGGGATTTCACCTTGACGCACTGCAAGTTTTCACCTTCGGAAGAGTCAAAGCATGTCAACACGGAAGTCCACACGTCCCAGGCTGCAGACGTCTTTCAATATATATATATATATACATAGAGGTCATACCAAGCGCCTGGTTGAGGACGCGTTTCAGTGAGGATGTGTTCACTCCTGGGGCCTTGCTCATTACGACTCCACAGAGTCGCTCCATGTCGCTCCCGTCCAGCCTCTGCACGACCTATCGCGGAGATAGCCTGGAAGGCAGTGCAGGATCCTTTTGGACCATATGTCACATGTCTTTGGACCCAAAGATTTGTTCATTGTATAGCAAACATTTCTAACATAGAGGACGCTACTAGGAACAAAGGACGCTACTAGGAGCTTGTTCGCTAACATGACTGAGTCAGCTTGGATTTCTTAACAAATCGTTCGAGGATCGGTTGCCATGCCCGCTGACACCTTCGTTTGCATAGCGACGGGCACGGCTCCTGCAGCAGCCAGCCTTCTCTCCTTCTCAAAGACTCCATCAAACAATGTATGGGAGGGAAACAAGGACATGGAAACGACATATGGAGGCATTGAACCTGATAACAGCATGAATGTCATCACCCAAACATTTCCTGACATGTTTGTTGATCTTTGTGCAGTTGGAAAAAATACTCCCTCCCTTCTTCAACACTGTCCTTCTTCATCGCGCTTCTCGCTTGGAAGGTAAGGCCCCAAGGAGATATCAGCGATCACGATGGGCAACCCAAAAACCATGGGCGCAAAGTAAAATGTCAGCGACCAACAAATAATTCCGAAGAGCCTTGGGGTACGCTCTGAAAACAGTGATCAATCGCCCACAAAGACTACAAATCCAAAGACTTGAATTTGATGACAACTGGAATCAATTTCACTGCACATTGTACCACCTTCTAATTTCAACATGCGTCCATTCCTCGGCTTACGGATGAGGTGATACAGATCTTTTGGCATGGCCTTGCCGGAACAAAGCTGGTGATCTTCTGCTCCAAGCTGCACAGGCAAGGTGGCTGTAAAATCCATGCGGCATTCTGTGTGATCCTGGCAATCAGCACACGTCCACAAACTGCGAAGATCAGTGCAAATCAACAAACCACAGTATCATTCAAAGCCAACACTGACCTTATAGGAATCATCCAAGCATCCCAAACCCACAATTGAAAGGTTGGTGGTAGACTGTCGTTGTGAATGCTGCAATGTCCTGCCATTTCCCAACCCAAACAGACTCCTTGTTGACAGAATAAATGAACAAAGAGCCGATGCCTGAGCTCAGGCCCCCTTTTGCAGGACTGAAACACGTGCAGTCTCCTGCATTCATCATGCAAGCAGGAGGTTTTTGCTTTAACTTTACCCCTATTTATTGCTCTGGCATTCCAGTCTGAACACTTTGTTGGGTGAGGGCGGCTTGATTGAAAGAAGTCAACATGAGTCCTGCTAAAAGGGTAGAACCGTCTGCAAAGAAATAGGCCTTTAACAAAAGCACTTCATCAACGGCAAGAACGCACCAAATCCCATATGAGGGAGTTCATAGGTTGCATCCCCCACGGAAGCCCTTTATCGTGCACTCCAGTAACATTCCCAGGCTTGCACAACTTGGGAGGCGTGTGTCCCCGAAGTGTCCCCGAAGTCGTGTTTCTTCTGTGAGGTTCTTCAGCCAAGCAACATTCTTCACAGGTCGCAGTGCCAGATTTTGCCGTGTAGTAATGAGGAGGACATGTTCCTTGACTCGTGCAAGCACAGGGAGCCGAATATCCGCGGGGTCGCCCGACTGTGACACTCTAGTTAGACACTCTAGTATGATTTGATCCATTATGTACAACCATTGCAAATCAAATCCCAGTTTTGTGTCCCTGAATTGAATCTTTTGATTGTAGATGCATAACGGATCACTTACCCCATCATGGCCCAACAATTCTGCGATCTTCCCCGGGTCCGGCCAAATTGCGGCAACGGGCGGTGTTGTCAATCTCGGGCTTGTAGAAACCGGGCTCACCTTGATGGATTTGAGAGAAACGGACATGTTCGATGGATTTCAGATTGATTCAGTGGGTCGCAGTTGGACTTGTTTTTGGAGGCGAATTGGTATTTGTCCACAAATCTTCATGCAGTTGTGAGTGTCGGTGGTTGTTGCGGACGTGTTGGACGATGTCGGACACTACTGTGGGCATGAACTTGGTTTGGATGGCTTGGGCTGTAGTTAGTTAAGAGGCTGCAAACATGGTGATTTGTGAGCTTGGATACCCAATCAGAAACAAATAGCAGCATTGAGATTCTTGGTTAGCATTGGGATTCTCAAACTGTAACCAAAGTGCAGCTTTGGTTCACCGGTGTCTGCATGATTCTTGCTACCCGGCTGCACTCTTCGCAGTGCGCGATGATGGAATGCTCAGCATACTCAGTGCCAGCTGGGCACATGCCTGTAACAATGGACAAACCAAAAAAAAACTAACGCGCGTGTTGTTCTGGATTTGGCGCGTGTTGCAGGATTTGCAATGAAATTGACCAACAAACACAGTATCAGTATATTGAGTGTAATGTTGTTTGTGAGTTGGGTAAATCTCCAAACCTTCCGCAGCAACTGCCAACCTCGTTGGAAGTTCTACGAGCCACGTTGATCAAACATATATATATATATATCATACACCTATGTATAGTTGGTAGAGCAAACTTCTCGCACCCAACAACTTCTCGCAGCCAACTACAAGAGCGGTGATAAACTTCCACCATCATTGCCACATTATTCATCCGTGTTCCCCACCGTCTACCACCATGCACAACAAGGGCCAAGCCCTGCCACATCCCTAGCCGCCACCCACCTTCTTCACAGTTGGCCCCAGTAAAGCTCGGACTACACGAGCAAGTCCCCTCGCCACGTATGAATGCCATTTGCAGTGGTGACGTGAAAGGCGCCTCCGCCTGAGATCGGCCGGCACAAGCCACAAGCTGCGCTACGCACCAAGCAGGTCACCAGTCACCACGGAGGTCATCGGAGGTCGCCAGATCGGTTTTGTAGTCCAAAGCGTTTGTGTCGACGTCCTCCCTTCAAAAGTCAAGCCTCTTGGAGCTGACTTTGCAGTGAAGAACACCCTCGCCACATCTCCACAATGGAATTGTATGGAATTGTTCCCTCTAGTAAAGAGGGCATCGCTACTAGTAACAGGGGCATTGCTACTAGTAGCAAGAAGCTGGTAGTAACAAGGGCATCGCTACTAGTACTGTAACTTGGTAATAGAAGTAAGTAGTAATAACAATAATGATAGTAATAGTAATAGTAATAGTAATAGTAATAGTAGTAGTAGTAGTAGTAGTGGTAGTAGTAGTAGTACTTGAGAGAGGAGGGGGTGAACGAAAGGTAGCAGGCAATCACAAGTAACCCTGGTAGAAGTCCACGACGGCGTGAACCGGCGCGGGGGGGATTGGGGCCGGGGGGGGGGGGCCCCCTGAAAAGTAGAGCCTACCTGTACAGGGTTCCACTCCAACAGCTGATATAGTGTGTCCATGCTTGACTGCTTCAAGGCTCAAGAGAAGGTCAATGGACCTAAGGATAAGACTCTGCGTGAGCAAAAGACACTAGCGGTCTGCACCTCTACCGTGTACGCCCTAGTCACTCTTTCAGTGGTAGCGGAGCAGTGATCCTGGAAGACCCAGGTGAGCTCCTTTCCTAGGCATAGAATTGCTTGTGGGCAAACGGCCATGGATTGGATTGACGACTGGGAAGAGCCTGATGCGGATGTGGCTTATGAGCCAGCAGCCTACGTGAATAGGCATGTGAGAAGAGAACCAGCAGCAATAGCTATGACAACACAGGTCACTACAAAGGTGCCCCCATCTTATGATGGAAAGACTTCATGGTTTTCCTATGAGGATGCCATAGACGATTGGTGTGATATCACCGAGCTGGAAGATGAGAAGAGAGGACCAGCTTTGAGAAACAGATTAGAAGGAGAAGCAGCAGTATACAAACGTGTATTAGACAGAGATTCATTGAAGGCTAATGAGCCACCAGGAGCAGGAGTAGATTACTTCAAACGAGTACTACGACCATATTTCGTGAAAGGATCAACCAATGTATTCCTATACAGGTTTATGCAATTCGTGCGATTCAATCGAGGATCAGCCGACATGATGAAATGGATGACAAGATTCCAGATTTTACTCCAAAGGCTTAAGAGCAGTTGGATGGACATGTTAGAACCAGTCACTCAAGCACATCCCCAAGTCCTTGCTCAGATGCAGGCAGATGCAGCGTTGACTGGAGTAGCACCAACGGCAGAAAGGATTCAGGAAATCATGCAGAATGTCAATGGCAATATGAGAATTCTTCATCAGAATGATTTTCCTTTAGGAGAGAATCTCATTGCCCTACTCATGCTGTCCCTTGCAGATTTGTCTCAGGACCAGCGAAACACTTTGACTTCGTTGATGACTCATCGTGGCAGGTACCTGCAGCAATACACCACAACAGAGTTAAGGACAGTGTTCATCGAGATGTTCTGCACGACAAAGACTTCGGTAGACAATCCATTGATGCAGCCGACAGGTGCTGGAGGTAGAAGATCATTTCTCGTACTAGACGAAGGAGAACTCGATGGTACATTTGGCTATTGGGCCGAAGATGAAGAAGATGGAACTGAAGGATTTTTAGATGCCCTGGACGATGTCTTTTGGGTATATGATGATCAAAACTTCTCATGGTTCCAAAGGAGATTTCAAGGAAGAAGAGCCAGAAAAGGCAAAGGAAAAGGAAGAAGAAAAGGAAAAGGAAAAGGAAGATCAGGCCGCAGATTCTTCAGACCTCGTGGAAAAGGAAAAGGAAAGAGACGAGGTAAAGGCCATTTTGCTGATGAGCAACAGACAACATACCCAGAAGAGTACTTTGAGGAGAATCCTTATGAGGACACTTGGGAGTCAACCCAAGGAGCATATGATGCCATTCTTGCCGAGGATCTGAATGACTATCTTCAAGGAGAATATGATGATGCCAATGACTTTTGGCAACAGCTTGAAGAAGCATGGTTTTCCCACAAAGGAAAAGGAAAAGGCAAGAGAAAAGGCAAGAAAGGAAAAGGAAAAGATAAAGGAGATGGCAAACAAGATGCAAACTATGCAAATCAACAACAGCCACGTTCTTTACCTGCACCTTCAAGAACTTCACAAGCATCAGGAGGTCAACAAGTTTTCTTAGCACATGGTGTGACAGCAGCAGCTGAAGTCCATGACAGTGAGGTGGACTTGCTGTCAGGCATGATGACCTCATGCCAAGATGAAGCTGACTGCGTGGTCAACAATGGTGAGACGATCTTCGATGACATGAGTGCCCCTGTGAGGTACTCTTTGTCAAAGGAGATGCTCACAAAGGCTCCTGATGGCTTTGCGCTTATGAGCGCCGATGGCTTTGCGCTTATGAGCGCTGATGGTTTTGCGCTTATGAGCGCTGAGGAAGAAGTGAAGGAGATGCAGGCTATTTCATTTTTGACTGAGAATCGCTTCCCGCCAACTATTGCAATCCTGGACATTGGATGCACTAGAGCTATGGGATCAAGGCGAGCAGTCGACCATTTTTGCAACTATGTCGACAATCACCCAGATTGTGGATTATGGTACTCTTTTGAGTCTACCAAGAGCAAGTTTTACTTTGCCAATTCCCAGAAGGCTACTTGCTCTCAGAAACTGGCGATTTACGTGTATGATCGTGCATGGACGATCCACCAAACAGAGTTCGACATAGTGGAAGAAGGAGAAGTCCCTTTGCTTATGAGCTTGCCACAGATGAGGAACTTAGGCTTTGAACTCAGGCTGACACCTCGACATGCTTATCTGACATCGGTGCCTCTTGGTATCAAATTTTTGGAGTTGAAGGTTGCAGCCAGTACTCATCTTGTGTTGGACTTCCAAGATATTGCATGGTATCTGTCTGACGTGCGTTGGCAGACTCAGCGTGAGAAGAGTTTTTACTCTCACCTCACTCACTATGAATATGGCCATATTTCTGTTGAACACAATAGTGATGAAGGTGAAGCTGAGCATGCATATCCTGTGGTTGATTTCTGGGAAGTAGATGTTCACAAGAGAGAACTGATACGTCACCACAAGGATTACAGGAAAATTCTTTTCCCAGCAACTAAGTCATGTCCTGTAGACACTGACTTGCTGGAAGACTTGCGACTGACAATCATCAAGAAGAAAACAGGAGGAGAAGAAATCAAGAAGACAGATGATTGGCGCAAGGCAAAATGGAAGGACCTACAACTTGGCTATGAATGGCGTGGTAGAACAATTTTTAAATTTAAGCCAGATGCCAAAATTCCAGATCTAAAGATCAGGAAGGCTGGCATTGAGCACCGTGGCATTGGTGATCCCGATGCAGTGGTGCGCTCCTCCTCAGAGAAGGTTCCCATTGCAAAGGACAGGGAACCAGGCTTCTCGTCAGAGAAGGAAGGTGCACCATCCAGTGCCGCGGAAAAGCCCGTGCCGCCAAAGTTCCGGTATACTTCCAAGGGTTTTGATCCATTTTGGAAAGGACACAAGTCAAAACCATCTGAGCCTCAGAATGATTTAAAGGGTGATGATCTTGAGGAGTATGCTCCTTCAGAACCACCTGAGAGGCCAGAAGGTGAATTTGTAGAAATTCCTAAAGCATCAAAAGGACCATCAAGTGATAAACATGAACCACTTGAACCAGGTGATGGCGCTCTTGAGCCTAGGCGGATTTCAATCCCATTACCTGGTAGTGAAGTTGTTGCAATGACACCGGCATATAGGAAGATGTTACAGAGACTGGAGGACAAGGTAGAGCTTTATAAGCTTCATGTGAAGCACTACCATATGAGTCCTACTCAGTTTCGTAGACGTGTTTCTATGTTGAAGCTTCCTGACTCTGTTTTAGAGAAGTATGAATCAGTTGTCAGGAACTGCCGTGTTTGTAACACTTCAGTGGCACCTCCGCCACGAGCCAGAGTCTCCGGTATTAGAGCTTCATGTTTTGGTGATGTTGTTTTTGCTGATCATTGTGAGGTTGAACTTCACAAGAACAAGTATATCATTCTACTTGTTCTTGATGGTGCCACAAATCTTCTCTGGGCTACGGCACAGAAAGACCTCATAGATCAAACCACCATCCAAGCATTGAGGCAATGGTCTGATGAGAACAACTGTGTTCCAAAGGCCATCGTAGGAGACGAAGCCTTTTTCACCGATGCTTTTGTTGAATACTACAGGTTCCATGGTATACAACAATGTCCTTGTGGGCCAAGAACTCCTTGGCCGAACCGAGCAGAGACAGCTGTACGTTTGTTCAAACGTATGTGGCATGTTACGAAGGTAGATCTGGATGACCCACGTTTTCGTGGTGTTACGGTCAGAGAAGTGGTCAAGAAGGTAGTTTGGGCAAGAAATTGTCAGTTGACTATCAGTGGATATTCACCAATAGAGATAGCAACTGGAAGACGTCCACCAGATCTTTTTGACCTTGAGACCGCAAGCCCTGAGCAATTGTCAGCTAATGCCGCCGCACAAGATCGTACAAATTTGGAACTACAACGTGTGGCTTTGAGAGCTCATCAAGAAGCACGACAAGCTCAGGACCTTCGAGCAGATCTTGCAAGAAGGACTATGCCAAGTGACGGTCCATATTTTCAAGGAGAGAAGGTTTTTGTTTGGACTCAGGATTCATCAAAGTTCAAGGATAAAGGACGTTGGGTTCGTGCCACAGTACTTGGACAAGAAGGAGCTATGGTCCAAGCCAATACTGGTAAGGCAGTGATACGTGTGAATCAGTCAAAGGTTAGACGTGATCACGATGAGTGGCATGATGTTTCCATTCCGGCATTAGACGATGAGAATCCGGAGAACTTGCGTGAAGATCACGAACTGTATGTTGATGCCGAATTCGGAGAACAGTCCTTTTTCTTCTGTAA